CGGTATGCAGTTATTTTCACGTTATATATATATATTATGTTGCAGCTCAGAGTTATAAATATCATCCGATGGTGTTATATCTCTAAGGCACAGTGATCGTTCTTTTACAGCTATTTTACACGTTTATTTCAGTGTTACATTTCTTTGACTAATTGGTACTTATCGATACGATTACTTAATTCGGTAAAGCAGGTTACGTCAACAAGAGAAAGCTACTCTTTTACACCAGCATTCCCTAGAATCGTTATGTACTGTTCTTAGAAGAAAGCAATCCTTTTAATTGGTCAATTCTGGAATATGTAACCAATTCTTATCACAGTTTAACTAGAAAATTGCAATCAAGATACAACATGCATACTACAGAGGCTTCAACAAGTCCGCGTTTGACGCAGATTATCTAGTCACTGAATTTATCATTGATTTAATCTGTTTAATCATTTTCGATGGTAATTCTTCAGATGTTACTACTTCTTCACATCTTCATTTTTCCCAAATCTCTCGCATTCTTTTCATTTATTTGTCTTCTTCTTATTATTACTTAGATCTTTTTCCAACTTATTTATATTAACGAACATTATGATTCTAACTCTCGATTTCCCAACAGACTTCAGTGTTAAATAACTATCACTATTATTCTATCGATCCTGTAGATGAAGATAGTGATGGTTAAACTAAGCTATGAAATTGGATACAGACTGTCTGGTTTGGTTAGTTAGGGTCACTATCATAACCAATGATTGTAGATGTCAGGCAATATGACTCGTAGACAATCTCAGTTACGCAAATGAATATATGGTGTAGCGACATGGAATAATGCTCACATATGTCAGCTTCTATGTTGCCTGTGGGTGATCGACTGAAACATCCCACAAGTGATCTCACAGAAAACATAATCCTCTTTTACTGCTTCGGGCTATGTTGAGAATGCTGAGTTTTTATGATTTACATCGTGAACTAGCTTCATTCAAACAACTATTGAAAAACAGGTGGCACTAAACTTCTAGAGTATTGTGGGTCTAAGACTTTATCCACGACTGAACCCATGACGTTCTAGTGAAATCATATATCTACAACAGCTCCAGTAATTATTTTCATCACACATGACTAACGGTCTTACGAATTAAGCACCATTGTTAGCTGTCTTCATGATTAAAAAATAACGAATAAGTAAATCTGACTTTGAAAAAGATTATTTTAGTTTATGGCAAATCTACATGATACCGTAATACGGTCAAGACAAAATATCTGAATAACTAGGTATTCATTCACCTGCCAACCAAAAAATGAGTATACTTTGAAGCAGTCCATTCTATACTTTTTTTATGTCTTTGAAAAGTAGTCTATCAAAGCATAAAACATGCGTAAAATGATGGATAGGTTTCTTCAGAGCGTGTGGAACGCACATGTGATGGGAACCTCGGCTGAACCTAAGGTACTATTAACGATGAATACTCGTTTATTGAGGTTGTGGTGCAGTGTTGAATTATTTGTTTATTATCTTTCACAGATCTTAAGTTTCTATATATTATTTGATACGAATTTATTTTATCCTTTAAAACTATATTGTCTTTTTTAGTATCATTGGTATTGTCATTAGTCCCGTTAATTTTATCTAGATCTGATGACATGGGTCAACTTGAATCGGTGCTTAATTCATTTAGGTCCTTCAATGATCGTTTTCGAACTTTGTAATAGTGTGCTTACAAAACTTTTATGTTACATAAAACTCGGAACCTTGTAGTTACACATCAGAGATGTCAATACTTTGCAAATGAATTCTATATTTTACACGTTGAACTCAAATCGATTTATTGAAGAACTGTTCTCATTCAGTGTCATCCATACCTAAAAAATATAGCACAGATATCTAATCCTAACAACTATGAAATTTATAGATTTTGATACAAGCAAGCAAGGACATCCATAATTACTGTATGTAGAACGGTAATATCTCCTGGTAGTCCAAATCCCAACAGGCTCAGTACTTTTGTAATAACTAATCCCCTAGTCGGACATCGGTCACCTACATAATTTAGTAATAGAAATGATTTTCTGAGTTTAATTTAACTGAACTCATTTATTTACAGTTGGTTGGACGAAATGAATGCTATTTAAATGATTCTGTACAGACTGTAGAAAGTCATCCTCCTGAACTTGAACTTATATAAGACGACACTGGACAAGTGTTTCGTTTTAATTTCAAACTATCAGCGGTATGCACCAGCAGTTGCACTTTGGAATAAATTAGATGTCTTCCAGTCATATAATGATCCCAAAACTATCAAGTTACAATTCAATGGTTTATGATTTCAAATTCAAAGAATTTATAATCAGTCGCATAGTGACACTTTTTCTCGCCCAAGTTTACCTAAATATACTTCAAATACAAAGTAAGTATTTTTCATTCAAAACTAACCGGTCTTTTGGCTATAAACTCAGTTCTAAAATCCAGATATTACTATCGGTGGGTTTATTCAATGTTATATGCTAAGTACAATATGGAATTCAACAAGTTTCTATTACAAAACCAATAACTGCATACATATGTACATATATCTTTCTCCACACTTTTGGTATACAATTTGGTGAGTAGGATTCGTAAGAGATACTCGTGAATATATGACAAAAAACGTACGCAGATTCCCTTAGGATGTCTGAAATTTCATTAGGTCCTTAATATTGGGACAAGTTAAGTAACTGGAGTCATTTCCGAACATTAATCACAGTGAAAACACTTCATCAAACTGGTCAATATTAGGAAGAATGACATCAGATGATCGACGTACATAAGACTTATTTAGTTCATAAGCAATTCATTTGGTATTGCCACTAATGTGTCTCTCATCTGTAAGCTCTCTAAACAGTTCTTACATCTTTGGATTTTTACAAAATAATGATTTCTAAGTAAGAATGTAATTTAAACACTTAACTCCTTAGCTTAGTAGACTATTTAGCTTTGGAACTTAAGTAGAGTTCTTCTCCTTGTACATTCTTTGTCCGTTAGTAACCGTTTTAGTTGTGGGAATGTAAGTCAACCAAAGCTTACGAATATTTTCAGTGGTAAAACAAACATTAGAGCAGAATTAAAAACAAGTGACAAAATTGTTATTTTCAAAACCCTAGTTCGTCGTAAAGATACACATTCTTCAGACCTTAGATATTTCTGTTAAGTTCGTCACTAGGTACGTCCTCAACAATTTCCTTCATACTCAGTCAGGTCGCCTTATCAGTGATGATAATAGGCGTTTTATTTAAACAACCTAAGGGTAATATTCAAATCTGTAATTAATAAAATAACTCTTTAAACAATTTCAGGGATGAAACAATAAAGACAAGTGTTATCATAAGAATAGTACTATATATGACAAATTAATTATTAAGGATGATTCTAATTCGATAAGTTTTCATTGACAATGTATAAAATCACTTTCGAAAACCTAGATGTCACTGCACAGTTTTTAAAGTATTTAAGTTCGATCATGATGTTACTACGTAGGTTGTTGGAGTAGATTCAACTGGCTCTCCAGCAGGTAAAATCACTCAAGCTCCAAGGCAGAAAGTGTTTTAGAGGAGTTATTTAGAATGATTTCAATTCGAACAAACGCATACATTGAATAATGGTATTTAGGAATTGAAAAAAAGTGCACTATGTCAATCACCACATAATATATCACTCTTAGTCTCACTATTATTCCTGGTGCTTAAATTTCCATGTACCTTTGCAAATGATCAATACTATTACGATCAGCTTACAATGTTCATCAATCCGTTGACATTAAAAGCCTGGCTAATACTGAGCTATTTAAAAATATATATATACTTAGATACTTGAAAGTTTTACTGGTAGTCACTACATTTTTCGCTTTATTAATAATAATTATTGAAAGTAAAAACAACATTCTTTGTTTGTTTCATAAACAAAATTGGAAGACAATCAGCTGAAAGATTCACAAAACAATAACAAGTACAAACACATTCTAAAGAAAGAAATTAACATTGTATGCGGTGGGAAATCAGTAATGAATCGAGAAATGAAATACAAAATACTGTTGACCTTGAAATCATTGATTAAAAAAATAGTGTTTTGTGTATAGCGAGATTCAAACGATAATTTTTGTGATTTATAGAAACAATTGGATCCATTGTTTTAATTAGGCAAAAGACAGAGGAACAACAGCATTCGTTATTTGATATGCATGCATTTTGAATTAATATTTTTATGTAGATGTGTGTTGTGTACTACGAAGAGTGCATCTTTCTTTAATAACTCTACTATAAATTGATACAACAAAATAACAAAATTCAACATGAAGTCGGACAACAAATGATAAATACTATGCTTGGAATGTATCAATGCAATAAACAAAATTAATAAGTTTCATGGGTTTTTCCTTTTCATTTCCTTGTAAAGTATACAAAAATAAACAAGTTTTAATGAATGATGTTGAAATCTTTGGTAGACTGTGTTATACGAGGAACACGGTAAACATGATTAGATTATGTGAGTTCATTGTTCACTTATCAAAGTTGCATCATAGTTTTATGTAAAAAAAACACAAACATTTCACGTACACATAATTAATGAATTCATATGAAGATGATGTATTGTTCACATATAAAGTAGATAGAAATAATGTTAAAAATTAATTTGACACGCGATACAAACATGTGAATATTATGTAGGAACATGGTAAGACAAAGAGTACAAAAAGTAACTAGCATCAAATGAGATTGCATTAAATCTTTTTAACTATTTATTACTAATTAAAAATGATAGAAGTAATAGTGTGACGTGTGAAAATTATAAATTAGCAGGGGATTTTCATAAATTCAGCAGTAATTTAAACTAGTTTTGATTGTTTTATCAAATTCTCAAAAATGGTGTGAAATCAAAACGAAATTGCCGTTAAAAAAAAAACAAACTGGAAGCATTCAAAGGAGTTAAAAAAAAAAGCGCATGGATATTTTTTTGTTTAGTTGAGCACAACAAATCTATTATTCTACATAACAGTTACATTATCTGTGTTCAATTCTAGCGCAGAACTGTTCGACTTCGTATTAACATCCGGTGGTGGAGGTCGTCTAGGCGGTGTATCTTTACCTAGTTTCGAATCAGTCGTAGTTGACGTTGTGATAACTGGTGATGGTAGTGACAATTTATGACTATGATCGATACTTGTTGATTCTGTGCAGCTAACAGATGAATTTATCGTGAGTTCTGGAAGACTTTCATGATGTGAATGATGAATTGATACTTCGGAAGCATTGTCATTATTATTGTTATCACTATCATTTTTGCTTTCTGTATCATTATCAAAAGGATTGCCTAATTTCTCAGGATTGTTATTATGATTATTATTTTTTAAATGACCTGTGGAACAATTAGTTGCATATAACTGAACTGGTGGTTTCGGTGCAGTATTTTTCTTTCGTTGTAGTACAGGAGTAGTATTTAAATTTGACATCCTATGAATAAATAAATAAATAAACAAACAATAAAAAGCAAAAAGACAATTCAATGCTGCTATAAGCTGTTAAAATGAGCATTTCATGGTGGACTACTTGTGAGCTACTTATAAGTAGTATATGAAGTGAGTGTCAACGTAATGTCTGGCAGCAGAAGATGGGGGAAGATCAAGAAAGGAAGAGTGGGAACACAATGAGATTTGTATGAAACGCATGAATAGTGACAATGGATTGATGTTTGGCAACAGGAACAAACAGTCCAGTTCGATATGATGAACTGATATTTTGCAAATTAACAATTTACGATATGGTTTTCCGATTTTACTGAGTAACTCTGTACACAAGACAACAACATCCTAAGCTATTTGGTCGATGACATAAGGAAGTTTATCCACTTCCAATCTTAGCTGATCGCATAATATGAAATCTATCGTTGAATTAATTAATACATGTGCATCATTCAACCAATTCGGACATTCTGATTTTAGGCTGATTAGAAATTGATACAAGGGATTGTAATTTTGATGAATATTAAATTTTCTAAATAAGGAGATGACATGTCATGAATTACTGATATTTCTGTAATTGAGGGAGAAGCACTTATATATACTTAGTGATTCATATTATTCCGTGGAATTCAGTCTGATTTTTATATCAATTTGATCAGTCAGTCATCCTAGAGAATGGTAGATAGATAATTTTCAACAAAAATTCATATTGACAACTTACACCCTAAACATTACATATCAACATGGAAGAATGATAATTTTTAGAACAAAAATAACTGAATGAATAACCTGGAAGTTATAGCCGACTGAGTTGAATGATAAGCAGTAGTAACACTAGGGTCACGATCAGTACCAACAGATTTTCTAGACGAAGTTAACTGATTAACATTCAGTGATGATTGTTCGCTCGATGTAGTAGCAGTAGTAGTAGTAGTCGTACTAATGCTACTACTACTACTACCACTATCCAATCCATGAGGAACACCAGTGCCGGAATTTGATGATTTCACTGAAGGTAGAGAACCTGGGGTAGATGGACGCGGTGAAGGAACCTTCAATCCCAAGTGAGATGGAATATGCGTTGGATGAAATGAAGCTGTCGTGCCAAAAAAAATAACAATCGAAAAGAAAATTGTCGAAGCACACTCTGACACGTATAGCTGAGAAAAAAATTCAATTTTAAATGAAAACCTTAAGTCACATTAAATGTGATACACATGTGAAACCTGATTAATTGACTAATGCAACTAATTGAAAAAGAAAATAATAAAAACTGATTAGGCTGAACATATTATGATATAATCTTCAGCAGTACAAATTATCGTCAAGATATTGGGTAGGAAGACACAATCATAAACTACTATTTCAGCTTATAATTCAAATAGTTATGAAAAGAATTGGGAACAAAACATTTGTCATTTAGTATGTATATACATAAATCCAGCTCTGATTAGACCCACTGAGTGCTAAGATTGCTAAGATAGAGAGTTAGGAACAATGCTGATGGATGTATTTGAAATGAATTTCCTAATTACTGCAAACGGATATATTTCGATGTAAAGTAACAAATGGACAAAGATACAACATTGGGTTACCATCTATAGCAATCTAATCTTCATCATCATTCAACTGATGTACAAATATCATAATTCATATCACTTAAATCATTACAATCAGCATTATTGAACCATCTCTGATGCAAAATCTCTGTGAGATTTGAAATTCGTGAGTTCAATCCTTAGTGAGTCTGTGAATGTATTTTAAATGGTGAGATGCTACAGTATACTAGATGGGTGGATCCTATATAATGATCCAACGCTGCTTGGTTTACAATAATTGCTTATACAAAGCCTTCAAATGTCTAGGTAAGGCCGAAACTGAAGAGAGTCCGCTCCAAAGTTTAAATGAACATGTATACGTAGCCCTTGCCAAAGAAAATATAACCATTACCTTTTCGTTGCTTGATGTCTGAGTTTTTTTTACAAAGTTGAAGTGGAAAGCAAATATTCGGCACTTAAACCGGGTTAGTGGGTACGAAGGATCCACCTACTGGGGTTGGAAAATCCTAATCCCAAACCAATAATGCACATAGGCTTCATGTCTTGAGGAAAAAATATCGTACGAAGCTATTGTCGGTCACCGGTTACCATCGGACTGAATCTCCTGACGTTGATCTATTGCCTAATGAGCAAGACGTCTTGGTCAAAGGCTTGAGGTACGGCCCTCCGAAAAATTCACATGATTCGGTTCGAGCATCTGGGCATTATCCCAGCCCACACAATAATTCATTCTTTGTACAACTAATTGTGTTTGAATAATAATAATAATAATAATAATAATAATAATAATAATAATAATTTAAGTCAGTTTAGGCTGTGAAATCCTAAATTCCACAGTCAATTAGGTTTATTCCTTACTGTAGAACTACAAAATTAGGTATGAAGTAATTTATTGAAATAATTGTTACCTTGTTCTTGACCAAATAACTGTTCGGCATTTTGAATAAGAGTATCTACTAAATGAATCCCAGGACCATTATTTTGTAGAAAATCTAAAGATTTTCCTCTAAAATAGAGAAACAATAAAAGTCATTGAATTTGTCTCACAGTCAACCAAATAATAGTGTAGAAAATTAAATTGTGACTTGCTACTTGACACAAGTTTATATTCACAGGTAATATTCACTCAATGATTAATTTATTTTTTAAATTATCAACTTGAAAATATAAATAAATTGAGTGATTTTGTAGGAGAAAAAATATACTATAAAAGTGATAGAAAAATGGTGATGATGACGATGATCAAGAAATATTTTCAATGCATTGAGTTTGTCAATATTGATTAGTTTAAAATATCAGCCGCTAAATTCCATTTCCACTATCTTGAACACAGTGAGAGAGTGTGTGTGTGTGTGTAAAAAACAAAGAATTCGGCATAGTGACAAGAATCCATTTAATTTTGTTAGTTTCTTATCAACTAACCGTTTATCCAAGGTCTTGGGTTCGACTCCCGCCAGTGTGGATCTTAGATATGCACTACTGACGAGTCCCATATTAAGATGAAATGGCATTGCAATGCCTCCAGGCTGCTAGTGGTAGTCTAACAATGATCGATTCATCATTTCATTTAGTTTAGTTAGCTTCTTATCAACTAATTGTTGATAATTTAACATTTTATAAAATTATTATCGAAGTTGACATTTTCAATGTGTTATTAAAAATAATAAAATTGACTAATTGCTTGAAATACTTGTAACTGTGATACTGGTTAGATGTTAATATGCATCAACATGGTGAAGTGCCAATTTGAATCAATGTGATGAGATTGAAGCAATATTGTATTGTAAATAAATATAATACCTGGGAGACAATCATCACAAACAGTAACAAGAGATCACAGAGCTAATAAAGAATATTCATTGATCATGTAATGAAATAGCTGACCGTAAATTATAGCTCATTAAGAGTTACATAAGTTGATATTAGTCAGTTTAATGTAATAAGCTGATGATAATGAAAGACTAGCTACTGTTTCCTTTAGGATAATACATAAATCCAACGTGAAGACTTTGATAGTTACAAATTTAGAAAGTTTAGGAAGATAGTTTGGTTGTCAATTGGCGATCATCCATCACTTCAAATAACATGTCCTAACATTACCATGTTTGACTATTCAAAGGACTAACAAAGTAAGGTCAAAAGCTTAGTTCCAGAATATCTAGTGAATTCTGATCATTCTGTTTGATCAGAATCTGCGTTCAAAATAATCCATACCATTGGGAAAATCAGGTCAAGATGAATACAAATGAGAACTTATAATACAACAGAGACTATAGCTGCTTACCGATTCTGGTTTAACCTATATTCAAAAGAAAAAAACAGGAAGTTTAGTGCCTCCATCATGGTCTTAATTAACTTTTCTTACTATCCTTCAGAATCAGTCGTTTTTTTCTACACCATTCCAATTATTTTTCGGCAACTATAAATTAGCCATTATGATCGAGTTCAGAGGCCAATATGAAAAAAACTAACAATACAACGCAAGTACATCCCCACTGACAAACTTGAAACACGAAGTAATGCGCGTTTAGGATTTCACTGCTAGCCCCTAACCCTCTCACTTGACAGAAGATGAAAATAACAATTTCAAATTGAAAATATTGTTATTTCGTTTCGGCAAAAGTCATATAATCATTAAAACTAATTAATTATGCGTGGTAAAATAAAATAATATCTCTTCGATACTCAACTGTATAGATTCGAATGTGTAATAATTCAATTGGAAAGTTGACTGATCATCACATACACAGAGAATGAACATATATGAATGAATAAAGTGAATACAAAAGCCAATCACAAAAATGTAGTAAGAATCATTTTGATATGAATCACAAAGTATATATATATATATATATATATATATATATATATATATATATATATATATATATATACCATATCAAATTTCAAGCCATAAACATAATTACGCTGACCTTACAAAATCAGACTACAACCAATCACAAGTTTGACCTAAAGAAATTCAGTGTTCTTCATAGTACCATAGAATGTGTTGTTGTTTATACAGTCTTGTCATTGATACTATTATTTGTTATGCAAGTTGATAAATTGATTAATCAGCCTAACGAATCAACTAGTCAGGATACTAAAAAGTTGAAATAAACTTGAAATAGAAGTCGATCATTCTAAAAATGACCATAATTTGTAGTTTAGGTAAAGAAGTTTAGTAAAAACTTGTTCAACTTGTAGGTTGTATTCGTTACAGATTAATATTAGTTAGTGCACCATTGAAAATCATGAAGCAATGGAAAGTTGCTACATTCTAGCTTCTGACTCAGTAGTAGTGTACATTGACGACCTTATCAAGAATGATGACTTATCATAAGTAACAACATAACCACGCATGTTTGAGTGAATATCCTTCAATAATAAAGACATAGTTGCTAGAATTCGTTTTCAGATGTTCATGATGAGATTAGAAATTTATATCTATAGTTATAAATATTAGTGTATTTCCCACCACTCAAATCTTGAAGTGATGACAGAGTATCAACTTGTTTATGAAGTATGATAGTTTCCTACAGAACAATATAGATCAATCTTACTTAATAGTCTTCGATATCAACAACGGAAAAAATATACAAAGCCTATACAAATAACAGTAGTAAGCCGACTTCATCGCTTCACCTTGATGCAAAGATTACAAATGAGATAACATAAAAATAACTGGATTAATCGATCAGTATCAAAAATTAAGGCTGCCAAAAATAACAATAATTCCTTACACATCTTCCATTGTTCGTACTGAACTATCATTGACAATATTATTGCCAGCATTTATAGCATTGGCCGAAAGTCTATACACGTTTGGTGCAATCACTATTGATAAATTATCTGACGTCATTTTATTCGTATTTGATTGATTAGACAATTTGTGCAAGAAACAAATTAAATAGCCTAAATTCAAACGAAATTCTTTTGGCATTTGTTCAAGACAACTACGAATTAACTGTAGATTAGCTGATGCTGAATTCGGTCTATAAATTAAAGAGAAACAGACAGACAGAGTACAAATAATTTGTGTTTAGTAAAAAAGTGACAGAGAATACAATAACTGAGCTTTGTTAACTATACAGAGGAATCAGTTACAATTAAAAATAAGTGCATACCGAAGTAGAATATTAGTTTTTAACCTTAGCATACATAATTTAAGAGAGAAACTATCAATAAGAAGTTAGATTATAGAGAAATTGTAAATGTGAGGGTAGAAATTTGGAATCCAGAAAAAGAATGCTAATTATAATGTGATGGGTTAATTAGAATTTAAGTAACTAGAATAGATTCTTTTAAAGATCTCATGGTCATTTTAAATAAAGGTTATTTGAGTCAACAGACAAATGGAGTTTCGATTTTCTTAGAACAAGCTACCATCCAAATTAGTCTATTGCTATAACAAGCTAGAGCTATAGCTAAAAACTCAACCCGTGTATGGATTGTGATTGATACGTGGGAGTGCGATGTGTCAGATTGGAACAAAACAAATCCATAATACTGTTTGATATTTAGTGGTTTTTCAGCTGAGACTAGTTCATTGAAGTAACTTTGTTAGGATATTCATAAAATATCTCTAAAATAATTTTGTAAGTCTAATTCTATCATTGGACGAGAAATCGTGTTTTCACATGTTTCCAGATCCTTCACAAATGTCGCGTGACGTTTTCCTATTGGTCAATATTTAAGGTCGTCCAAACTATCAAGTTCAGATGCTTTAAATGTTGTTTCCTATTGGTTAGTATTCACGGTTGTCCTAACTGTATAAATAGGCATTGTCTCTAAAGTTTTATTATCCTTCTTCTTCTTCTGTACTCGGAACCCACAAATAACTTTCATCTAACGGTGTGTTCTGACATAGTGGAGATTTGGGAAACAGTATTCGGGGTCGAACTAGAATATCTGAATTTGGTCAGTCGGTATAATTTAGAACAGTCGCATCCCGCATTATAACAAATAAGCTGTGAGTTTATGGATGGAATAGCTTGGAACACTAGAACACTTTCCACAGAACAAAAGCTGACAGAACAAGAATCCACAAGAGGCCTTTCATTCTACTAGTAGTTTTCATGAACTTATTTACACAGGATAGTTCGTTAATGATGAACACGTCCTAGGGTTGGTTAACTGACAAACAGAATACTTACTAATAGATGATGAGAAACGAAATAATGAGGTTGTTCAATGGCTACTCACTACATACACCTTAAAGAACAGGTTTTTCCTCTAGCAAATTAACATTCCTTTACATAGAAATATCACTCAACACATAACTGATCAGAGAAAACGAATTTGAAGGTCAGTTATTCCCTAAAGTTTTAAAATCTGACTGGCAGATCAATCTTTGCCAATCAAAGTTAAGTATCGAAAGGTGACTCTAACATGCTACTTTCAATTTTCTAAGTAGCATATATGGATTGGAATATATCTGTTGAATACAATCATTGCTAACATAAAAAAAGGTTAATGATCTAGGCAGAAATTCATGATGAACGTTTTGTAATTGTTTACTTGATCAAAATTCTTTATAATAATCATCAATATATTATTATGACTATTAAACGGTGAAATGCAACTTTTGCCTTCCGAGGATGTACACACCTACCACACGCTTGAATACTAACTGTAAATTAAAAAGAACCAACCAAATTTAAAGGAAAAAATAGATTACTATTCAAACGTAACACATGTTTCTTATGACAACAAAATATTTTTATCTTATAATAGTTTACTTTTTAGAAGCAGCAGCCCATTGATCAGCAAATTTATAAGTGATTAATGGTTCAGGCAGACTAAGCAAATATTGTTTTAAAGCACCGGCAACAACAGCACAATCACATTTTCTAAGTAAATTTTCGTCAATTTGCATGATATTCAAAGCTTTCTAAATAATGATTATTAAAAAAAATTAAACAAATCATAATGAAGTAATGTACAGAAAATATTGATGAATATGATGTTGAAAATAACATCATTATCAATATAGGTTAAATGTAGAAATGTAGACAGTTAAAATGTAACACAATAAGGAATGTAAATTTATTTATAGTAAAATTGAGAAGCGTTTAAAACTACTTTCTTTTGAACAACAAAGATATTATAACAGTAATGTAATTTAATATTGAGGAAATAAACCGGTTAATTCTAACTCAAATGTTTGTAAATATCAGGAACATAATGAAACCTCAACGATATGGATTTGATACATCGGGTAGGGTCGGCATTGTGCAATGCAAAATGTGCACAATAAAAATGATTGATTGTTGAATAGTGATCAATATTGTGTTCGTCTAGTCATTAACACCAACGGATGTCCTATTGATGAAAATCAATGTGAGCAATAGTCTAGAAAACTCGATATCTCTTGCATTGTGTTGCAATTTTCGATGGTCGTAGGTAATCGACAAAGCATCGGTAACTACTCAGTGATCAATCGATTGTATCTCAGTACTATAAAGGATTAGTCATGCATGACCTAAATAGTGATAACATCTCAGATTGTAAAGCTGGGTGGTGCAAGTTGAAATGCCACAGAGAGCATCAGCTCCCCTAAGGTGATAGGTACGCTTTGCTGAAATCTAAGTCCAGGGTTTCCTGCAAACTAGCTTTAACTGCCTAATACGAAACACCTATTCACAAAACAAGCTCTTAAGATGAAATGATAACATAAACATGTGGTTCGATCATGTCATCATTTGGCTTCAATACTCTAGATTATAAACAGGCACTAACCTCCTTTAAAGCTTGAAAAATAGAAAGATAGTTTTCTCACAAAGAAACTCTAAAAATTTAACCTCTACCTAACCGTTGGGTATGTGAAACAGTAGTAGGTTTGATGGCATTTTACTTCAGTTCACTATTTATCAGGTTAACGGTACTTAACAATCACTAATATGTGTAACTGTGAGTGATTTTCAAATCGTTATCACGAAAAAATGTATCTCTCCTATTAGATTTCAGTTGAAAACGTGTAGTACAGTAAACAGGAACGGTAGTGTTAATTTCGTTTAAAGAATCAGCTACATTAGAAGGAAGATTAGTGAAATGGTAACCCTCATAATTAACTTATGCATTATTGTTATATATATATATATATATATATATATATATATATATATATATATATATATATATTCTCATTGTATAACTGTTAAATAATTAGATTATTACATATATTACTGTTACCATAAGCTCTTGATTTATTATTTCTAACCTATTGCTAGTTTATCATTTTTGGTCTCACGTTCAAATGTACCTTGGCATTTTATAGTATGATTTGGTCTAGTTTGTTTTATAAGTAACGAATTTTGTGGAGACTGGCTACGAACTTCTGGACTGAGAGGTAGGATAGAAAGAAAAAAGCTATCGAGTTATAAACCAATGAGAAATGGAAGTTGATTCAAGGCTACCAGTGCTAGAAGTTACTTTGATTGATGCTTTGTATTTGTCACGTGATATTGGTCAACGTTCAGGGATACAAAAGAACCTAATCAAAAAATACAGTTGAGTTAGTTTTCAAGAGTTTATCTAATTACAGAATAATGAATAAACATTCATTGACGTAACAGGTATATAAAACTAGTGTAATCACGATCTGATAACTGATACTCATAGATCAACCAAAGCAGACATATTAGTTATATGACTAAGAACAGTTAATATATTCATCAAACAACATGACTATAAAGTTGCCTTGAACACATACAAGCATACGCCTACATACTTCACAAAGAATCATTATCATGTACATCGAACATGCTTGTATGAACAAGATTATAAGTGATGATTATCAGTAACTTGTCTAACATTGGAATACAAAAATGAATATTAATAAGATAGAGAGTGACTAAAAACGAAAGCAGTGTATAAAGTTGTATCAAAAGGTCAAAAAAGACAAAAGTGAATACAAGTAGGCAGTTCTCATTAGTTTTGTTCACAGCTGCACAATGACGACTATTGGCTAAATAATTAGTAGATGAGAGGGCTTAGCATAGTTTCACAAAACACAGTCATTAAAATAGTGAAGATATTCATGTTTTCTAACATCAAAACAAAACAAGCAATAGAGAACAGAAAAATAAATAGATGAAAAACTAGTTGACTGGTTTTTTTTTATGAAAAATAACCACAGCTTTATTTATCAATCGATCGGAGGATGACAAAGCTTCCAAAAATGTTGGATGTATCAATTTTCAGGCTATTCACATCTTCAATGTTGTCCAACAGTTTAGGTCACTTTTCAGCTAAACTAGAAGACGAGTGCCATATATTAGAGAGTAGTTTTTACAGGGGGACCGAAATTGCTGGATACAATACATACAGAACAGACAATGTACAATGTAGCCGAACAATGAGCGAACATAGACATATCTATCTATAACAAATATACGAGACTAGTTCATATTTTACTTTGATTCTATTCCGTGTCGACTGTTAGCCGTTTATGTTGATAAACTATTGTTCAGGTTCATAGTCTGGTTCTCAATAGTAAGTCAGACTTGAGAGCATGTGATCTATAGTTATGGTTTATCTAGTGTTCTAGTGTCTGAACCAATTTGTAAGAATTATGCGGTATTAGTATGTAGTAAGATTTCTTTAACAATCCATAACTATGATCCAATAGAACATTAAAGGTATGAAAAACAAATAAGATACTTATGACCATTTTTGACATTTTATCAGCTAATCAGTAATGAAAATATTATTCAATGTCAGGTCTGATTAGTTCTACCACCATTACTATTATCGCTGCAATTAGTAACTAGTTGCAGTAATTAGCTAGAAATCAATAAGAACACAAAGCACATGATCAATATCAACAGATGCACACCGAAAAACAACAAAGTGAGAATAAATATAATAAAAAGCTTAAGCATAACAATAATTTTGACACTGACAGTAAATCAATCAATGTGTTGTAGAAAAAGAGAAGAGAGCACAAAAGATCGATAACAGTGGTCATATATTATGTAATTTGAATACAAATGTGATAGAGCGAGTTGAGGATATTTGTAGGTTACTAGTATTCGATTATAGATGTCTTGAAAGCATTGCTCGTGTATCCTGGGACAACCGAGTAAGGAATGCTGTTGTTAGGAAAAGAGTACTAGTTAAGGATGGCAGGTCAATAGACGAAGTAGTGCAACTACATTAATTGAGGTGTTTGGGATGTGTGCTGCGTATGTCCAACTCCCGACTGCCTCGTCGAGATATACTTTGCCATGCAGGAATAGGCTGGAAGAAAGCTAGTGGCGACCAAACCAAACCATGAAGTCACTGACAAGTGAACTGAGTCATGTTGTTAGGTGCAGACTACCTGGTTTGGGTCCGCGAGATGGTAGTAACCAAGTGTTGAAGACTTTGAACGACATGGCCCAAAATCGTGTGCAATGGCGCAGGTGCATTCATTATTTGTGTTCTCTCAAATCCTAACCTTCTAAACTCCTCATGACCATCTCTTTTCTTCTTTTAACTGATTACACGGGGGTATAAATCTCGAATGACATATTCGATCATTAATCTTTTTGATTACTGCTCATACTTCTACTACCTCTACTACTATGGGGTTCGAATCGACAGCTGCGTCTCTGTGGTAATGTGGGATGGTAACTTGACCTGATGTACGTACGTACGAAGTTCTACTTTGTAACTGACTGACTGTGTATCTCATCTAACTTAATTTCCTTAATGACCTTTGATTTCTGATTGAGTTCTATTGCTTTTGGTTCGCTGAATTTCTATGTTTCAAAACCGATTTGCTACTTAGTTACGTCAGATGCACCAATTCGTTTTGTACTGCTTATCGTACCTCGAATATTAAGTTCCCTGAAATCCTGTGTTGACTGTCGGGTGTTGATGTATTCTGTGTACATTGCCGTTGGTGATTTTGATAAGAATCGATTGTATTAGAATAGCTCAATCGTTCGAATTTAGATCTACAAATATCGTAGACTCGAGCTGAATCTCAAACACGAGGTACAACAAAAGACCATCACCTCAGTCAGTTATGAGCAACAAAAGATCTCACAGATATGAATCGTTCTACGTCAACACAATAACAACATACATAAATGAAATCAGCGAAATCAACAAAAACGTTTCTCCAGGATTGGGTTACTTCAACTTTTGAATTGGTGATAGGGAGTGAAATAGATGAGTGTGTTGACCGCTTCACTTATCTTGGGAGTCTCATTAGTCCTGATAACCTGGTATCTAACAAAATCTCGGTAATTATACAGAAGAGTCAACTGGTTTTTGCCACCTTGCGTCAATTATGGCGTAAGCGATACCGGTTTACTAACTAATCAGTTAATCAGTTCGCATTCTACTACTTTACGGGTGTGAAACATGACCACTAAGAATGGAGGATATTCATAGTTTAATAAAATTAGATCGGTGTCTTAAGATCATTGCTTGTACATCCTGGGAACATCGAGTAAGAAAAGGATAGGAAAAGTGCACTAAGTAGAGATGACAGATCAATTGAAGTAGTGAATCATCATCAGTTGAGTTGGTTGAGACATGTGTTACGTATGCCTAACCCCTGACTACCTTGACGGGCGATGTTGTCAGAAGCAGGTACATGCTGGAAGAAAGCTAGAAACGGTCAAATCAAAACATGGTACAAATCTATGAAGTTACTGACAAATTGGTAGAGCCATGTTGGTAGGTGTAGACTACCAGGTTGGAGTCCACAAGACAATGGTAACTGGCGGTTGGAGACTTCGAATGATATGGCTTGAAATCGCTTGTAATGTTGCAGGTGTTTTTGGTTGTTACTGTCTGCGAGGGATTCCTCATGTTCACTGGCAATATCATGCTATTAATAGTGAGGAAGGCATTAATGTGTTTCCCGAAGATGATCTGATTGGAACCATATTCTCGAAACACTGGACACTGTAGCTTGGATATGTTTTATGAATGTCGCCCTGATGGCTTCCATATAACTATTGGCCTGAGTTAGGTTGGTAGGAGTAGATAACCCGGCTGGAGTTTTGTTTACTGACAGTGATCTATAGTTAGTGACTTTACGGTACATTATTCGGAAACCCGTGACAGTAGGATATATGCATCAACTCACTATTTTTCCGTAGATTTTATATAACATGTTCCCTGTGGAAGAAACAGATAATTGCCAAAACATCAACACAGGATTATGAGTTCTCTGTTCATATGAAATATTTACATGCATAGACCTTTTTGAAGACGGTCGACGTTTTATTTTGTGCGGCTGATAAGCTTATTGATTGTAACAATAGCCTCCACAAACTATTGAGACCATTGTGTGGTTTTAAAAAAATTCCCGTTTCAGATTTGTTTGAACTGTTACGAAAGTTTGTACAAATTGCCGGGAAAACTAAATACTCAAAAACATAAACACAAACACTATGGCAGAACAAAAAACAAATTTGTTGAAATTCAAGTATTTAACAGAAGATGGATGAACACGAAGAAGAAATACTTGTAGAAACTTTATTGACTGACTGAATAATTGTGACAGATACTGACTGTAGAAAGATAAATTTAGTACTGAACAAAGTTATTATTATTATTATTATTATTAACAGGAAATATAGAGGCAATCATAGGAAACTATCCTCAAAGTTAGTATTTTTAAACATTTGTTTACAATCTACAATGAGTATTTTCACTTACCACTAACAGATCTGTTCGTTTTTGAGATCCAGACTTTCGAAAAAGACCCTGAATCAAGTTAACAGGAAGAATTGAAAAGTTATGAGAACAATACCAATTATCGATATAGTATACAATATACAAACGAATGATTTATATGTGTCGAGGAAGTTAGATCCCCAGAACTCACTTGGAAAAGGTCCTAATTTTGGATTTTTTATGTTTTCGCGCACAAGTTGCTTGGTTGACCTACAGCTTACATTTAGCACACGGAAAATCTTTGACTGCCATCGGTTGATGGATTAACTTAGTACGCTATTTTGTGGCTCTCCCAAGGACAATTCTGACAGGTATATGTAAGCTCGATTTGTGTGCTTGTCAACCACGTATTTCTGGGTGCTTGTAGAATACACTTTCTACGCCTTGTCAAGACTTCTTGATATAGTTAGCCGGTCGAAGGAAAACAGATTAGAACAGCCTATCATGTCACTGAGTCATTGCTTTCGACCCGTCAATGAGTAAGGTGAACTCGTAATAGTATTCAAGCATATCAATATGATACATTATTATTGGAGTATAAGAGCTTCTATTAGTAGATGGGTTTAATAACATACAAGAAATTATTGTATGTAAAAAGTATACAACAAATAGACATCATTACCGTCACCCTATTGATACTAGTCGACCGAAACTAGACACCTATACAATATCAGTAATACACACATTGAAATCAAATGAATTCTTTAAAAGCGATCTGCTCTCATTTAGACATTCACAAACAATAGTTTTGTAAAAATATGAAACGATGTGAAAATGATCATTTAATCAGGAGGATAAGTTGTTTAGTCCTAATTGACATTATATAGTTGAACAAAAGAGTTATTGAAATTGAAAAAAAAATCAATCCATTGAAAATATTTGGTAGCAATGAATAGAAAATAATAAAAAAAATAAACACTATTCAATTAGATAATTAATGTTATCATAATGTATCAATTAACAGTTCCATAAATATACAATAAAAACAATAATAATAATGATAATTATTATTATTACATTGTATACGATCGTTGATACAGTTAAGGTACCACTGAATACTGAACTGAAGCTGAGTTTTGTTTTACACTTCCATTTGATACATTCACTTTTCTTTCTGATCAGATGTTCATTATTACGGGCTTAGTACCAATCGAAAAAGTATTATTGACAAGACTAGCTTAATTGATAGGTTCAAAGGTCATCGTTGGATCAATGATCAGGCTTAGTTCAATAGACATACAGAAAAAATAATAAGTACACAAATACACCAGGTTTTTGTATGTTGTTTAAATTATCCGGATAGACAGAGAGAAGTGAGAAGAGTGAAATAATGATAATAATAATAATAATAATAATAATAATAATAATAATAATAATAATAATCGAATTCCAAGTGAAGAAAGTGACAAAAATTTCATGTAAGTTGATGTATGAATAACAACACGACTATTAAAGTAAACAAAATCGTATACAAGACCCATATTACGTGATATATGTATTATTGTTTTAAATATAAATGATTTGTATTTTTGTACGAATTAGGCTATGTAGGTTAACAACACAATATACCATAATGTATATATTCTACTTTAATTTATTATACAAACTTATAATTCCATTGAGTATATTTCTTCGAAGAAAAAAAAAACATAAATATTTGACAAATTCGAATAAGCGGTAATTTACACAACGTGCTAATTGCATTTATTTTGCGATAGACATTCAGTCAAATATACAAATACATGTGTTTTTATTCATGAGACGCTGAAAAATGAGTACTTTTTGAAAACAAACAAAAGTTTCTGTAGAAATCATAGACTAATTGTTAAGAATTTCCTTTATTCGTCTATCATTGTAAATTTGTTTTAGATTGAGAATGGAATCGTTGAATATCTCTATCCATACTACAAACTTTGAATCTCAAGCAACAATCATTGGATAGTTACATGGAACTATAAAAATATAATTATCTAAGGTAAACATGTTACTGTTGACATACTTTAGTGTCGTTGGGAAAATGACTTTACTCTTATACCTTGGGTTGATGCTTTTAGTAACTGACCGAGCTATCTAGTTAGGTAGGATCTAAATAAACAACTGTTTCAGTCAATATAGCTTCATAAAAAAGTTACTATAACATACAAACGCAGCCATTAAGTCAAGATTAGCACTTATGGTGAGGCGATTGAACTCTTACAAAATATGAGCGTATTGACATAAAAAAAATTTTAACAGTATATGCTAAAAGGGAATCCTCATTCAGAAAAGAGCTTTTAAATTTAGTGACTTCAAGATAATTTGTTTATGTTTATCATTCAAAAAAAAAGGAAAGAGTAAAGAGAGGAATTTGGTACACACAGCAGTAGAATCATTAATCTTAAAGAGTGTAATCATTGTAGTCCAGCTAATATTATAACAAATATTGTTATTCAAAAAGGTTCAGTATCATTAAAATCTTAATACAAACTTTCGTGAATAACTTATTTTGTTTTACTTTAGTTCAAATAAGAAAGTAAACGACTCTATTTGAAAATATATTAATAACCAAACACTGTCTATTGAATGACCAAAGTGATGCACTCGAATGTGTTATTATATATATATATATATATATAATCATTAATGGACATCAGTAATTATAATACAGGATAAAAATGCACCTTGTCAACTGTTACATCAATTTAAGTGCATCACTTAGCTGCTTAATGGTTAATTATAATAAAGGTTAATTCACTTGACAATGTAGAGCCGGTAGAGATTAATAAGTTTTATTGCGATAACAGACTAATTCCAATCAGACAACTGGTGAAGACGGGAAGCACTGGACAGTTATTTCGTCCAAGTATGGGACTCTTTAGAAGTTTATTCATGACCCTGTTAGCGCGGAATAAACTCAGGACCTTAGTTTTGCAGCAGGGTATTAAGGAGATAATTGCTTTTACACAGTGGATTCATGAATGAATCATTGTTAGACTACCCATTAGAAACCTAGCAGCACTGGATGGCCGTTTTTTCCTGGCGTGGGACTCATCTTTACTGCGAAGACACGATTCCTGTTAATGGCAGGAGTCGAAGCCAGGACCTTCAGTCTTACTCTGAACAGGCATCCGAAGATAATATCTAACTCTAATCAATCTAAGGATTGTGCGCAACTTTAAGTCTTAGACACGAACGCTCGTTGGTTTAGAGGTTATACGTGTACACGCGAGACCTACGATTCTAGGTTTCATTTCCGGTAACAAGGTCGTGGGTGCAGAATGTTGAGTTCCAAAATAAAATGAGTCTGTTGGATTTCATCAATGATAACTGGTGATTAACTAACTATATTCAGAAATTAATTAGCATCAAGACTGGATCCAGTCTTTTGAGGTAACCAGCACCTTAATCTGATTTTGTTCAAATAGTCTTTTGATGGTGCTACTGCTACTACTGATAATTTCACGTGAGTTAGTTCATTTATAAGAACGAATTCAATTTACCTCTCTCTTCTTAATGAGTTTTTAACTTTTTTCAAACTAGCATGATATTCATGTGATGTATTATTTTTTAAAATCAACGTATGTACATGTATATGTAACATAATCTAAAGGCAGAACCAACTCACATTCTTATAACGAGATAAAATGCAAAATCAAAAGATGGCAACAATACCATCAATTATATATATCTATACATTTGATAACCTACGTGTATAGAAATACAGATGTACAAAAAATGCTTGACATTAATTTTAGACATTTATTGATCGACAGAACACACAATGCAAAATGATAACCAATAGGAGGGAACATAGAGTATTCAACAACCACCATCAAAGCTCAATATGCAGTAAACAATGATGCATGCATTTGTTGAACACTGATGAAAGAATAATGAACACGTGGGTCAATCTCAAAAATAATAATACAGTGCACATTGGATGTAAAATAGTTTGTGATATTACACATTAGGCAGTGAAATCCAAAAATCCATAGGTTGTGAACGAGCAATATTAGAGATTCAGTTGGTTTCATACACTGAGACATAAACATTGAGCCATATGGATCACCCACAGAATTGAAATATTTACTAATCTGAGTGATGAGAATATCACATGAAATATATTTTAGTGTCTAGTTGTTGCAATTAATTGGAAGGCAATACTGGATCATAGTGCAACTTTATAGGAAATAAGAACAGGACAAATATGAAATCGGTAGCTACCCAGTGGGGATTAATGAATGAAAATGCTAAAAAATCATCAAACTAGGTGAAAACATATGATCCATAAATGACAGAAATCTCAGTGTTGTCAAATGTTACAGTAAACTTTAGTTCATAGGTAGTTGAATTGAACTGGATGAAGTTCACACATAGAACGTAATGCAATACTTAATTAAAAGGTGTTACTTTGAAGGGAATCCTTACCATTACTACCACCATTTCAATAATAGACACAAAGTTTTACGTACTACATGTGTAAAGATTTATTTTTTGCAAACTTCACTTGAATTATGCTGGTTGTTGATTACTCTAAATTAAATTCTATAGTTCACCATACAACTGTATCAAGTTGTTTTTTGTTAGTTTGTTTTTTGTATAAACTTGATTTTATGACTGACTCTATGTAGAGTGAAAATCGATTGTGAACAAACCTTGAATTAAATCGACCAATATCATACTTTTCATTCGCAGTTTATACACATCAAATTTTCAATAGGTTTTTTCGCGGTCTCCATCGCAAACAGCACTGCATCGATGTTCGACCCTAGTATAGGACTCTTTATCAGTATACATACGCAACCCCGCCACCTAAAATTAGCAGGTTATGCGGTAAGATCTTAAACCTTAAACCAGTGAGCTTGTATCTAATAGGTTACTTTTCTAACTTCAATCAATTTGTGATACTGGGAGATCAATTTTCACTACCAATTGTAAGTAATTATTGAACATATACGGTTGTAGAGGTCGTGCAATTTCATTAAAATCCTGGACTTATATAGGTTATATCACTGTTGTGTATTTTGAGCACCGATTTCCTTTTTGTGACAATCTGTCAATTACGATTAAATACGTATTAGTACCCAGTCGAGCCATATGAGGGAATATAAAATAAAAGCTAGAATCAATAAAAAAAATATCGGATATAATATCAAAACTGAAGCTTTGGAAGCATTGATATGTTGACACTGAACAAACGTATCTCGAACTAAGCCTTACGGAAGGTATTTAGCCTTTGATGAACTTCAACCAATAAAGTGGGAACATATATACTTCACAAGTAGTCACGATTATTTGCAATAGTTCTATAACGACGGCTAATAGTGATATGGTCTATAATATTTATTGTACATCTCAATGATAAGTTTAACAGTTAATCTTAGTTTACTCTGAAACAGTTTGTAAACTGAAGTAAGACAAAAGAACAAGAAAATTGAGTGATGAATTCAGTGCGACCTTTAACACTCTTCGGTGGCTGAGTTTTTACTTACAGGTAATTATTTTTATATATAATAATATATCATAAGAAATAAGGGAATGATTTAATGGTTGAAGCATTTGGCATTTAGATGCTCAGTCTTACATTCGAATGCTGCTTCATTTACTTTGATGTTTGAGTAGTTGCGTGATATCAGAACGTACAGAATAAAGAGGGATACATGATTGACAGATAAGACACAATTTTATAGTGACTTTTGATGAGTGATTATACTTGCACCATATCTAAGGAGAACAGTTAATCTAAATATTAACAAGGGGGGTTGATAAATAAAAAAAACCCTCCATCACTCGATTTAAAAAAGACATTTTTCAAAAATTTAAAATATAAGTAACGGTTTTAGAAAAGTGAACAATTTAACTTATAATTTATAAGTTATTTAAAAATACACTTTCTAGTGCATGTTTTGAATAAAAACAGCTAATCAATGAAAAATTCACCACTAAATAGTATTCTAAAGGATATGAACGAAGTAAAATATGATTTAGCAGTAGCCTTTGCAGAATCTCAGCTTACCTCTTCTTTCATGATAAATTCTTGATCTAAGTAACGAATACATACATCTAGGACATAAGCGATAGACCGATTAGTTTCGGCTAAATGATCAGGTAGATGGCGGCCAAATGTAGTAAGACGTTTCTTATGTCCTGTTACGCAAAAAATAACAAAAATATAATCAATAAATGCATCGAGTTTATAAAACAATCAGAAAGAAAAAATCGTGTTGCAACAGATGGAGACGGTAGATTGGAGGTTTGTAAAAATGTATCACTGAAGATAAAAACGAACATTAATCAATAGGTTTGAAAGATATTTGACAGAATTTCGCTGAATACTCACTGAAAAATTACAAACGAACCAACTTTTTGATAAACACGAAGTTGTATAAGCCTATAGAGTAAGAAGAATTTAATCCATAGAGTATGTTCTATGCCTACCATATATCGGAATTAATAATTCAACGTAACTTACATTTATCAAGTACAAATTCATGTATTCGGTTTTAGTTGGTAATTTAACCATGAAATTTAGTGATGCCCAACAAAGGGAAGGTTCAAAACTGAAAATCAGCAGTGATAATTACAAATCAAGTGTTTTAACTACATCCGAGCTTCCACATACCTTGATTAACTATCAACTAGAACAAGCCAAATGTAAATAAGTACAAGGGAATTTCTAAAATACGTATGGACAGTCCACACAAGATGAACATATTCCAAAAGAGATCGATCGTTTGCAGATGTGAACATCGATGGAAATATTCAAACAATCAATACAAATGAAGGATTTTTATTGGTTTCATGAAAATTTATTTTATTTAGCAATAAAATATGATGGAATTCAGTTTCGTATAAATACATATAAGTTAAACGTTACAATACACACAGTTTCAAGTTCAAAGTAAATGATAGAAATCAAAATAATAATGGTTTTCGCTCATCCAAATGTCAATAATTTTGACAGAATTCTGATCAGTCTCAGTTCATATATGTGTACATCCTGTGAGAACTGCCACGATGAATCCAAAATGTTGCACATTTTTATATCATAGATGAGATGTAGCTAGCATTGAAATATAGGATATTTTTTCTGTCCTATTCTGATTTATTCTATGTAACAAAAATGACCTATTATTTAATTTTGTACATCAAGCTGTTTTGATTATTTAATTCAGTAAATAATGCAGCCAATTATGAATTTTCGAACTGTGCCGGGGTTATTTTCTTCAATGTACCTATCGAAATTTTGTACTGGGATTATTGACAAGGTTTCTAACATTCAAAACAATTGTTAGATAAGGCACTTCCAACCATTTTACCAATCATTTAGTGGGTGAGTTCTGTGCATCAGTGTGTAATTTTCGCTGAATATTGATTACATTGAAAGCGTCTGTAACTACCTACGTTGAACATGTTAATGGAACCCAGTTTAATATATTGGAGACAAACATAACCAAAACTATACACCATTACGTGGTAATTACTCACTAAAATGAACGATAAAAACCCTTAAGACCCAGTGTATAACAAATTTATAGAGAATTTATAACGGTTTAGATAAGGTTGGCTACATTTCGGTTCCATATCAAAGCTAACGACATAATACACTGTCAGTTTTATGTAAGATATCTTTAAAAATGGACTATAAAGTAATATCCAGCTACCACCACCTTCAAATACCAGCTACTGATAATTAGGCTAAGTTATATTTGAATGTCCATGAGTAACAAACTGATTGGTTATGTACTGAATAAACTTTTAGTGTAGATAACAGAATAAATCCGTGTTTAATCAATCGAAAAGCTATAACCTTGAATACATAGCATTCGAAACGAACAGATACATGCATAGAAAATATTCTATCACGGAAAAGGTAACATTTATTTTTTTCTTCCCTTCTATATTACATAATTTTCAGTATAAAATTAGTCCGCTTTCATAAATATTTTATTACGTGATACAATTTGCACACTGAAGGTACACACACATACATACATGTATGAACAGTCGAGAAAAATTACTGTCTATTGTCAAGATTATGACAAAATTAACAATAAAAAATTCTACGATTTTATTTGTTGGAGTATATTGTTTAATTTTATGTCTAATGTTGGAGCATAAAATGTTTGTTTTAAAACAGCCATAATAATAGTAACAATAATAATAATAATAATTATTATTATCATTATTATTATAACTACAATAATTTTGCAAATATGCCAGAAAGTTAAAAAATTATTTCGTATATACAAGATAATTGAAAAAAAGAATGGTTGAATGTTTAAAACAAAAATAGTAGTCTGTAAACTTTTGGCTCACGAATTGGTAAGCTCTTATTAACCTGCTACTAATATTCAGAACTGAAATTCTAATAAATCATTGATGGCGGTAGATATGCGTTTTGAATGAAAGCCTTTTAATTACAAATTTTAATTAAATAGTTAGTGTGATCAAAGCAAAATTCTAGACATGTTTTGTTCTACTCGCGATTCATTAGATGAATACGTCGGCATCTCAATGTTTTCATTCACGTTGCACAAAGTAGAGCAAAAGTAATTCAGTTCTTGTTAATGTGCTAATTTTTTTCCTGTTACGATAATATTCCGTGCATTTGTTTTGATATGCATCTCAGCACTTTTGCTACTTTTTAGTCGATTGTCCGCGTTTCTGAGTTTGCTGATTAGTTATTCTGTTCCAAGATCGATTTCTACTACTAAATATAGACGTAGTTGGTTCTTTATACTTTTGGCTTCTTGAATTCAGTTTGAAAATTAAAATTATCACAAATTTCCTTCTCCTTCATAATTTATCCATATGTGTATTATTAACATTGAAGTTTTGTCATATATCAGTGGTCATACTATTCATTCTGTTATTTTATTTAAATCACATAAATAATGAAAAAGAAAATAATTGTGAATCACACAAATAAGACAATGAGATTACAAAGAGATGGATGAACGAGGTGTAGTCAGAATGGACGAGTATTTTTTCAAAAAAAGCGAACGGAAGTAATCGATCACAAGAGAAGCATTTCGGCTGATAAACTAAAAACAGAAAGAATCTTACCATTTAAAGAAGTTCCCTTTACTTTTATGAAGAAAGTAAAATAAAGTGACAACATAGTTATAATTGACTCATATTCTGAGAAATGTCTGATAACAACTCTTTACACTGAATTACATCATGTTCCCGACCGTAACTGTTACCTTGACGTGGTGGTCGAGCATGCCTATCGTGATGACCCAACCGAGCTATACTGGCTGCAACATATGTTCCTGAAAGTTATACCATGCCAGACAGGTCGATTGGAGAACGATGAGACTAAAAGCGGCTACTCAAGGTATCGGGGCGAAGTTGTACTGCTGACTGCAGAGACGTGTAACAGCAGTAAGGTGTTTCCCTCGAACAACCAGCATCTGCAGCGATGCTGTCTTCTCACAATGAAGAGAAGGGATAGAAAAGGTCAACCCGAAAAATGTCACACCTCACCTTACCTCACGGATTTCCCTCTCCGGTGGTAAGGCCTTTCAAACAAGGGCGGAGCCAGCACTTCAAAACTTTTCATGAAGAGGCCGTGCGTGACCGGCCTCAATCAGTTGTCCTTTGGACTCTATGTACGTGCTCCCAGGTCTACATTTTTTTGTGTTCCCTCAAGAAACATCCTTCCACGATATGGGCAGCCTAGAAGTGACCTCCGCCCTCATACCTGTAACAGCACTCGAGACCGAATTGGTCACAATCAAATCCTTCCTACACCCCCTAACAATATTGCACATTTGATAATCCTGACTTTACATACGGTGATTTTAGCTTATCACAATGTTAACAGTCGATGAATATTTATCATTATTTGTTAAATATGTTGACATAAAATCAAGAGCGGCAAAGCAGCAAGACCAGACAACATTCCAACAGAGGCAATCAAAGCAGACGTGGAAGCAACTGCAAAAATACTTCACATTCTCTTCAAAAAGATTTGGGATGAGGAGCAAGTACCATCAGACTGGAAAGAAGGATACCTCATCAAAATACCAAAGAAAGGTGATCTCAGCAAGTGTGAGAACTACAGAAACATCACTCTTCTCTCAATACCAGGAAAAGTCCTCAACACAGTGTTGTTAAATAGAATAAAGGACTAAGTATACGCCCATGTTCGAGATCAACAGGCTGGATTTAGTGAGGATCGATCGAGTACTAACCAAATTGCAGCGTGCACATGAAAATATAATGGAGCCTTCTTAGACACTACGGGGTGCCTGAGAATATAGTCAACATCTTAAGGAATTCTTACGATGAAGTAAATTGCAAAATCGTGCACGGAGCACTGCTGACAGACTCGTTCGAGGTGAAGACCGGTGTCAGGCAAGGTTGCTTACACTCACACTTTCTCTTTCTCCTGGTGATCAATTGGATTATGAAGACGTCAACATCTGGAGGGAAGCACGATATACAGTTGACAGTCAAGTAAGTAGTGTAAGTTAGCAAAATATTAAAATGACAACTTACTGATAATTTGAGATATATCAGAAATCGCTTTTTGAACTGACTGCAAACTATCCGATAAATAACTTTCTTGCAATTGAAAGTAATCAAGTATAAGGCGTGAATAATTTTCTTCTTCAGCGGCGAATGAATACAAATCACGAAGTAATTGTTCCTGGATTTTTGATAAGCATAGTAAACGTGGAATGAAGAATCAATTTGCAACTTATATCTGAATGAAATAATTATTATTATGATTATTAATATAATTATTAATGAATTTGCATTGGGTTCTACAACAAATTGAAGTTCATAACTTGATTAAAAGCAATTGCAAATAGTCTTTATCTAAATAAGTGTGTTTATCAAGGACTAGTTTTAGTTAGACCAGAAGTGAACACTAAAAGTACAGTACAACTGTTTAGTTGTAGTATCTCACTCCTCAGCAATGACCCTATGACCTTACAGCGACTGAAACACAAGACCTTCGGGTATCGTGTTGGGTGTCTAACTTTGAAACCAATGAGTCGCCATGCAATAGTTTACGTATCTAACTTAAGTCAGTTTGTGATATTGCCCAGCCATGCTGCAATGATATCTATGACTAACTGCCCCATAGCCGACATGGCTGAACTCTAATGACTACAGTTCGCCTGTAGAACATCTTGAGACCAGTTACTAGGAGGCACACAACCACTATTATTATTATTATTATTATCATTATTAGTGTAAGCTATGGGATCCTGACTCAGCAATCTAGAGATCAAACGTTCGCTCATTCCGTGATACAAACACTAAGACTATGAAATAGTATTGGAATGTATTATTTATGAAAAGATAGAGAATGAATGTCCGAGTTGACATTATGATTTCAAAGGTATTACTACCGCTATACAATGAGTATTTACTAAGATTACTTATAACAAATTCAGTGTATCCTTCATGTCTGAGTCTTCATTGTAAAACTTATATCGAATTTTAAATTATTTATAATACTTCCTGACATATAACCATATGACTAACATACACTACTTAAATAAGATAGGATATTTATTATTTATCAACAATACTCATTATATTAAATACTTTTGCGTATAAGATATATATATTGATTGACTTGACGTCTCAACGTTTCAACAACATATACTCAATACTAGACTCGAATCCTTAATAAACTACAATTACCATGTGCATTTTTTTTTACGTTTGATATAGTTCATCTATCGAGCATGTTCAACTGAATAAATTTAAACTTAATATTGTTAGAATGATAGCGAAATCGCAAATTTAAAAAAAAAAACGACTTGTAGAAATTACAAAACTGAGCATAGTGTAACATAATTTTGTTCATATGTTCATAAGTTATATAGTTTACTCTAAGAAACCATGTGACAAATCTGTAGACTTTCACGTGGAACTCCCTATCCCTGAGGAGTAAGCACTAGTTCCAGCCTATACAACATACTTTATAAACTTAAGGATTAATTAATTTTACTCAGCTCTATGGGTAAAAGAAGTAATTTGGAAATTACAAAATATCAAATTAAATTTGAAATGGTTTTGGATTAGTCTGTGGTTGATAGTTCAACTGATTGTCTCGATATAGAGCCATTTATGTAGAATGGATAGAATGTAGGCTGGGCAGTGGAATCAAGGAAGCGCGTTTCATCCTGTCCACTGTTAGCCATATTCTATCCATTCTATAATATTAAATGTTACAATAAGAAGTACACAATACATCATAATAGAAAATGTTTTCTGTTCTAATAAACATTACAAAAGTATCAAAAATATAATTAAACAGAAATATTACAAAATTCCAATGAAATTAATGATTAGAATTATTTTTGAAAATTACACAACAGAAAAAACCTGAATTTTTTTTCACTTGTTATCTCATTTGAACACCAAAAATAGCATAGGTCAAATAACTGAAGAAATAACACTGTGAAGAAAAAAAGATGGAGGTGGAGTGCAGTTAGAAAAAAATACCTCGATAAGAAGGGTGTATAATGGATAGTACAGTTCAGTTAAAAATGCGGCCAAGTAATACTTTTCTTTTAATTAACAAAGTTTATTTTACCGTTATGAAGAATGTAGAAGGAAACTAAGGCGCGGTAATTACTAGATGCTATATTCTAATCCATGTCTGATCAAAACTTAAGCCATTATGTAACACCGTCTCTAGGACCGCAACCAGTGAGTCACGGTGGACTGACTGTTTTCAGTCCTATACAACTTACATATCATGATATTAATTCGTAAATGGACAATCTTTCTGTTATTTTTCTGCCGTAAAAGCTTAGTTCAGAGCAGATCGTTTTTTATAAAAAAAAAAAGAACATACGCTATCTAAACTAAAAAGATTAACCCAAGTGAAACATAGGAAAATCTATGTACTTTAAAAAAAATGTTTAAAAGACAATAAGTTTCGCACACGTACTTTTGAAGATTCTAATTCACTGTCTTTCTCTTCTAATTGATGTTGAGCTTGACTAATTCGATTGACAGCATCAATTGTTACAGATGGATTACTAGAACCGGAATAACTTAAATTTGAATTAGTTTGAATACATTGCATAGTTTTTTGTAATTGTCCACGTGCATTACGAACATCTACCAAACATTTTTGTAAATTACGCCGACCTTTTGCAATGTTAACACATGTTTCTTCAGTTAGACGATTTAATGGTTCAACAATTTGACGTTCTACTTTATTCTCATGATCTCGATGATGTGCAGATAGAATTGATAAAGCTTTACTAGCTTCACGAGTAACACATCTGATGAGAAAAATAAGCAAATAAAATAGATTTTATAAGAATTTTTGTCTAAATCTGAACAAATAATCCAACAATAAATAGTTGGGCATTGACTGTATGAACATGTCAATGGGTTTTTACTTCAAATCAGCATAATGTTTGGTTCTTATTATGATTTCACCATACGTCGCAAAATAATTCAGATCGACATTTTGAGAAACTCTAAATTCAGCATAATTGGATGAACGTTTAGTGCATAGCTGTTTTGTGAATCCTAGATGCATTAGATAATTCTGCTTACTTGCCTGAAGAAGCTCGAATTAAACTGCTGGAAAAACGTCCAAGTCATTCTTCATTTTGAGCATTAAGATGTCTACAAATACTGTCTTATTTTTAAATAAAATACGGCCTGTTAGTATATAGATAAAACGTATAAGTCAATTATGAGTATTTATCAATAAGTAGTCAGATTCATTTTGACCAATGGAGTTAAGTGAATTGTTTTACGCTATGGATTGTTAATATACAGTATGTAAAATGAAGATAAATGATTAGGAATAATACATCACTGATAATATCATTTTAACACCACAAAATCTGTGGTTATAATTGAACTGTAATGAAGAAACTCAATAAGTGTAGTCTAAATAATTAATTCTACTACTTGATTCAAAGTCGGTTACATCATTATAACTCACCTATACAATACAAATTAATGTATTCGGTTTTGAGTAAGTCAGTTTGTGTCATAATTTGTGATAATGCTTAGATATCTGAAAGAAGTTACTAATTTAAATTGCGAACCTTACCTAGAACGACATCAAAACCTTACACACTAATTTATCAGATACGATCTCGTGCTAAAATTATGAGTAATTTTTGTAGTTATGAATGACGGTTTGAAGGTGTTGTAATCTCTAAACCGGATATTTCATTGCCTTACACGACAGACTTTCGTATTTGACATTGAGTTACATTTTAGTAGTAGAATAACACTGGACCAACCATGGTTTATATTTGATATTATCACCAACCAACAACTAACGAAAATTTCCGAATCGTTCCCTCTGCAACCTTTAAACATGTTCAATAATATTGATAGTTAAGAAAATAATCTTACTGATCACTAGATATTTAATTTTGAGATAAAACTCAGTAACTTGTGCGATGACGAACATTTTGATAACAATGGGCTTAAGTAATACCGTTTTTACTAACTCAAATTCAGGTAGTAGCGTGATCACAATCACAGAGGATTAGTTTTTAAGCATGTTGTTTCTTGTAGCCATTTGTGATTGCCAGTTTCAATGGAATCAGAAACCGTACATCAAGTTCTTTTGTCGTAGAAGTGATTGGAAAGCTGTCAAGAGAAATCCTGATCATCTGCGAAGAAGGAGGTAAATGTAATACTTTTATAGGGTCGTTTCGTTCAGAGCTTCATCAAAATATGGCTGTTCAGCATTTATATTTTCCAAAGAGACAGACAGATACTAGACTGTAATTCATGAACACGTGAACCACAATCATGATTCCGATTCATTGGCTTATCAGAATAGTTCATGGTTGAGGAAGCTATTTCCACCAGAGTTAGAGTACCTCAGACCTCGAATGAGTTCGGGCAAAACTACACTTAAACTGGTAGATGCTCTTCATTTCGCAAGCGTCTGTATTGACAAGATATGTTTAATTTCAGGCATAAAACATTTTGTCGGGCCAATTTCCCATGTAAATATTATTATGGTGTAGAATAAAAGTATTTAAAAGCTAAGGAGTTTCAGAATTTCCCTCTGAGGAACCTGTGAATATAGACTGGATGAAGATGATGATTTGCAGTATCAAATAGCAACAGTGTAGTATGGCAAACTGAACTTCTATACATACGTAAGAAGTTCTACGTTGCATCTGGCTGGCTGACGACTGAATAAACCACGTTAAAACAGTTAGACTGAAGTGTGTAGTCTAACTAATATAGTTTCTAAATTGTTAGCCTCAGTTGTAGTTAGACGACTAACTAGAACTCGATAAGAGCAGACTCGACAAAACCAAGCTGGTTTTCGAGCTGGACGTGGATATATAGACCATATCTTCACACTACGTCAGGTCCTAGAACACAGACACACAATAGGACGTCCAGCAACGCTTGACTTCCTGGAACATAATGCGACATTCGACCCTGTCGATCGTGAGGTTCTGTATCCGTATCTGTCATTGAAAGTTGTACCAAAGAAGTACATTAACCTTATACAGGCTCTATACTCGAACAACACTGGTCGAGTGAGCGCTTATGACGAACTGTCACCGGAATTCTTTACTTCAAGTGGTGTTAGTCAGGGATGTCCACTCTCTCCATTCCTGTACAACTTTGTCGTAGACATGCTTTTAGAGTTAACTTTGTCTTCGTCTGACTCTTCAGGAGTGGACTGTTTACCAGGAGACACGCTTGCTGACTTGGAGTATGCTGATAACATAGTTCTATTCGGTGAAGACGCTGACAAAATGCAGAGTCTTCTGACTACCCTAAGTAACAATGCAAGCATGTTCGGGATGCGGTTTTCGCCCTCGAAATGCAAATTGTTGCTTCAAGACTGGGTTGCATCAGCACCTGAACTAGTTATAGGGAGTGAAGTAGTCGAACGTGTAGACCGCTTCACTTATCTGGGGAGTCTCATCAGTGCAGATTGCCTGGTGACTGACGAAATCTCAGCGCGAATACAGAAGGCTCGATTGGCCTTTGACAACCAGAATCACTTATGGCGTAGGCGAGATATCCATTTGCTGAATAAAGGACAAGTGTAATGCGCAGTAGTTCGCTCCGTCTGTGAAACATGGCCATTCAGAATAGAAGATATTAGTAGGTTACTGATTTTCGATCATAGGTGTCTTCGAAGCATTGCTCGTATATCGTGGGACAGCCGAGTAAGCAATGCTGTCGTTAGGAAACGGGTAATAGGTAAGGATGGCACATCAATAGATGAAGTGGTGAAACTTCATCAGTTGAGGTGGTTGGGACATGTGTTATGTATGCCTAACCACCGACTGCCTCGACGAGCTATGTTTTGTGGTGTAGGAGTAGGTTGGAAGAAAGTTAGGGGCGGCCAGACCAAAACATGGCACAAATGCATGAAGTCACTGACAGGTGGACTGAGTCATGTTGGTAGATGTAGGCTACTTGTTTGGAGTCTTCAAGACTAAAGTCACTGATGATTAGAGACCTTGAATGACATGGCTCGAAATCGTTTGCAATGGCGCAAGTGCATCCATTCTTTGAGCTCTCTCAAATCCTAATCTTCTGGATTCGTCAGCACCTCTACCTTTGTCTTCCTAACCTTATCTCACTGAATTATACTTCTTGAATAATATCTTTGAACCCTAGTCTTCTTTATTAACATTAATACCTCTACTATCTTTATCACTATGGGATTGGATTTGACATTTGCGTCTCTGTGCTAATGTGGTATGGCAACATGAACTTATGTACTTACGTACGAGGTTCTGCGTTGTATCTGTCTGTCTGTTATAATTAATCAAGTGTAAGCATAATTCTAATAATTTCTAATACTTAAGGAATATTAGTTTGAAATATGTATTATAAAAACAATCCGTAAATGATCGGTTCACTGATTGTGACAGAAACACTAATTACAAAGTATACTACTTCATTTACAGTTCCAATTAAAGTCGTTTCGCATTTTATTCTCTCTATAATTTTTACTTCTATCTTCCTGATGCATATTTACTGATATTTAAACCGCATCTTGATTGTTCAATAGTTTTTTATTAAGTGATGCCGTTTAATGATGAAAACTGCATTCGAATAAGCTTCCTATAATTGCTTCTGTAGCATGCAATTTAATCGCTTTTGATTAAGTTACCTTCAACCTTTTAAGTTAGAGAAATAAACTAAAAAGTATTTTTAATAAATAAGCTAATTTGCTTTTTGTCGATTGGTGAAAACGTCCACGTTTTCGGAAAATATCGTCATAGAACATTGAACATAATAACTAGCTTATTCAATGTAATGAGTAATTCTTTAAATGTGTTTCTCCAAAGTTCAGTCAGTTCGCAAGGAATGTGAACACCGTGATGAAAGAAGTTGGAACTAAAATGTCTCAGAAGATGAACAACGACAGATGGAATAGTCTTAAAATGAGATGAAATTCTTTTCAATGACCGTTACTTGTGCTTTTTATCAAGCTTTTTGTTATGCTCGTCAAACTATTACGAGTTCACCTTAGTCGGTAAACGAGAGCAAAGACAAGTGATACAGTGACACGATAGGCTACTCTAATCCAAGCGTCCAAAGGCCACACTAAGTAGGTGAAGAAGTCTTGATATGGCATAGAAAGTGTATTCTACAAGCACCCAGAAAATGTGAGATTTTTAAGCACACAAATCGAGTTTATTTATACATCCTAGAAACGTTGTTGGGAGAGCCACAAAAAAAGTCAGTCAGTCAGATGCAACGTAGAAACTTCGTACGTAAGTACATAAGTTCATGTTGCCATACCACATTAGCACAGAGACGCAAATGTCAAATCAAATCCAATACTAGTAGAGGTAGTAAGGGAATTAGAAGTAATCAGAGAGGTTAGGGTTAGAAGATCCTATTCAAGAAGTACGATTCAGTGAGAAAAATTCAGAGAGTCAAAACTAGAGGGGTTGAAGAATCCAGAAGATTAGGATTTGAGAGAACACAAAGAATAAATGCACCGGCGTCATTGCGAACTATTTTGAGCCATGTCATTCAACGTCTCTAACCATCGATTATTATCATCTCGCGGACCCCAACCAGGTAGTCTACATCTACCAATATGACTCAGTCCACTTGTCAGTGACTTCATGGATTTGTGCCATGTTTTGGTCTGGCCGCCCCTAACTTTCTTCCAACCTACTCCTACACCACAAAACATAGCTCGTCGAGGCAGTCGGTGGTTAGCCATACATAACACATGTCCCAACCACCTCAACTGATGAAGTTTCACCACTTCATCTATTGATGTGCCATCCTTACCTATTACCCGTTTCCTAACGACAGCATTGCTTACTCGGCTGTCCCACGATATACGAGCAATGCTTCGAAGACACCTATGATCAAAAACCAGTACCTACGAATATCTTCTACTCTCATTGGCCATGTTTCACAGCCATATAAGAGAACGGAACGAACTGCTGCACAGTACACTCATCCTTTAATTAGAGAACGGATATCACGCCTACGCCATAAGTGATTCTGGTTGTCAAAGGCCAATCGAGCCTTCTGTATGCGATTTCGTCAGTCACCAGGCAATCAGCACTGATGAGACTCCCCAGATAAGTGAAGCGGTCTACACGTTCGACTACTTCACTCCCTATAACTAGTTCAGGTGCTGATGCAACCCAGTCTTGAAGCAACAATTTGCATTTCGAGGGCGAAAACCGCATCCCGAACATGCTTGCATTGTTACTTAGGGTAGTCAGAAGACTCTGCATTTTGTCAGTGTCTTCAACAAGTAGGACAATGTCATCGGCATATTCTAAGTCAATAAGCGAGCCACCTGGTAGAAGGTCTACTCCAGAAGATTCAGACGAGGATGAGGTTATTTCTAGGAGCATGTCTATGATAAAATTAAACAAAAATGGAGAAAGTGGACATCCCTGATGGACACCACTTGATGTAGAGAATTCCGGTGACAGTTCGCCATAAGCTCTCACTCGACCAGTGGTGTTCGAGAAAGGGCTTGTATAAGGTTAATGTACTTATTTGGTACACCTCTCAATGACAGACACTGCCACAGAACCTCACGATCCACAGAGTCGAATGCCGCCCTAAGATGCAGGAAAACAACTATTGTACGACGCCTAAATGTTTGTCTGTGTTCCAGGACCTGTCGTAGTGTGAAAATGTGGTCTATACAACCACGTCCAGGTCGAAAACCAGACTGGTTTTCTGGAGTTTGATCTTCACGAGCTTTCGTTAAGCGTCGAAGTATTATTGAGGCCAATATTTTAGATACTATATTAGTTAGACTTATTCCTCTGTGATTGTCACAAGAAGACTTCTGTCCTTTCTTATAGATTGGGACAATCAGTGATTGAGACCAGTTGGATGGGATTGCGTCCAGTTCCCAGATTCTACCTAAGATCTCAGTCAACCTAGCTGATAAAACTGGACCACCATCCTTGAATATCTCAGGGGTCAGTCTAACAGGACCTGCAGCTCGTCCTCGTTTCAGATTTCCTAACGCTTTCTCAACGTCATTAAGACTAGGGGGACTTAGGTCGATTTGCCATTCAGGATGACTAGAGATCGTGGGCAACCGAAGAGTGGCTCGTGGCCAGTTGAACTGATCCCTTAAGTGTTCTGCCCATCGATCCAGTCTCCTGGATTGAGAATGGATAATAAGACCATCCTTTTCCGAGATAGTCTCACTCACATTCGGGTTCTCAATACCAGTTTCTTTAATAAGGCGGAAAAGTTGTCTAGTGTTGCCTATCGCCGCTGCCTTTTCCATCGCTTTTGCTTTCGCCACCCACCACTGTTCGCGGTCGTTACGCAGACTTTTTATAAGTCTGCGCCTAAGCTGACTACGCTCTTCATCATGCTCAGAGTCAGGTGGCATGCGTTTTCGTGCATCCATCAGTTCGGTGGATGCGATTGATATCCACGGATTCATCCTAGCCTTATGGTTTACCTTACTAGCAGATATCAATGCTGTTTCCACAGCCTTTTTGATATCATACCAACCTGCTTCTGGATGGGAATCACTTACATCGTTGCTTAACTCTCTTTCTAGTTGCTCCTGAAATATTTTCTTAGTTTGATTATCATCAAGTAAAACCCTAAGAGGCATCCTTACGGTATCTTTTCTACGCCCAGTAAGCCTCAAACAGATACGAGCTCGCACTAGAGCATGATCTGAATCTAAACATGTGCCCCACAACGAGCGACAGTCCTCTATCGAACCCCTCCATCGGTGGCTGATGGCGATGTGATCTAGTTGCGTCCAACGTTGAGACGACTTTGGAGGTCGCCAGGTCAACAGATGCTTTTCCTTATGCCTAAAGTTAGTGTTTGCTAAGAATAGGCGGTTGTCTGAGCATAGTTGCAACAGACGGTCACCATTGTCTGTTCTCTCAGTCGCTACACCATAACATCCACCTAGATGTCTCTCCTTGTCACCTAGTCTACCTACTTGAGCATTAAAGTCACCAGCCATTATTACTATATCAGAGCGCCTAGCTTTTTGGAGGAGGTCCGAAAGCTTTCTGTAAAACTCATCTTTCACATCGTCTGCACTGCATTCAGTGGTAGCATAGGCAGATATGACGACGAGGCAACGGCGAGTGTCCCTATCTTTCCGAGTCCTTACTGTCCCGTTTAGTCGCACAGCGCACAAACGACTATCTACTGGGATCCAGTCTAGGAGAGATAATTCTGCCCTAGGACTCAACGCTATGCCTACACCAGCAAGACCCCTGGAGGCAGCATCAGGGCTACCGGAGACACAAAGAGTGAATCGGGCTGCTTCTTCGTTTTGACAAGGTGGAATCAGGTTAATGACTTTACTAGGATCCTGTATGCGCGTTTCCGAGACGCAGCATACATCGGTGGCACGAGTTTCTAAAGTCCTAGCTAATGATGCCTGTCGCCCTATTTGACACAATGTCCGTACATTAAATGCTCTAACATGTAGTTTAGAACGGGGTTTCAGGAGACCAGGAACGACGTTTCGTGATCTCGCTTCGTCTGCATTAGCGGTGCAGTGAGAAAAGGGAGTGTGAGTAGAGTTAGTCGTAGAGATAAGAGAGACATTAGGGGGTGTAGGAAGGATTTGATTTCGACCAATTTGGTCTCGCGTGCTGTTATGGGTATGAGGGCGGTTGTCACTTCCCGGCTGCCCACACCGTGGAAGGTACCACAAAAAGGAGTACTAAGATAATACATCAACCAATAACAGTCAAGGATTTTCCGGGTGGGAAATGTGATCTGAAAGTCAACTGATCAGCACATGCGCGAAAGCATAAAATCCCAAATTAGGACCTTTATCAAGTGAGTTCTGGGGATCTGACGTCCCCAACACTTTTGTATTTTATAATATAATATAATATATATATATAAACATAATATGAAATGTCCTGCGTCAGGAATTAATATAACTTTTAAACATTCTGAACAAATGTCCCAAAAAACAGAATTTATAGAAGTCATAGTTATAGAGTTTTCTATGAAACAATGCAGTGGTTTATTTCTTAGACTATCGATTTTCGATGGATATTCGTCGGATTTTCAAAAAATCTACATTTGAAGGATACATTGTATCACGGTAAGATATGATCCCATGTTATATAGAGCAGACATCTACAGTCTGTTCGTCGTTAAGTAATGACCAAATCAATTTCGTCTATCCCCTAGTGAAGAGTGAACAGTACCGATTAAGTCGTGATATACCCATTAATCCATATGATTTGAATTAATGTGCATTATTTTGAAATACTTTGAAATCACGAATCAATCAATGTTAGACCACTATTAGAAACCTGGAAGCACTAGACAGCTGTTTCGTCCTGGTATGGGACTCACCAGCAGGTTTCTAATGGTGGTCTAACATTGATCAATTCATGATTTAATAGTAGCTCAACAATCTCCACAACCCTATAGTGAAAATTATCTTGAGATGCTAGATAGTTGGAGAGTCAGTGTATGTATTAAACACTTGTATTATACATAAATATACTAAATGATAATCAATAATATTTATACTTTCATTTATGAAGGACTCATTTTTGCTAACTCTTCAACCGGTCACTTTCAATAAAAACTTGGAATTTATTAGTGTGTAAGCCAGGATTTTAAAAACCGGGTACGTGAACTTCAGTTGTAAAAACTTGGTCATTCGATCAATATTAATCGTTTCATTAAAATTAACTGAATCACTTAGAATTAACTGTAGCATAAAAACGTGAGTCTTTGAGTTCTTTTATTTCTGATATTAAGGATTACTTATGATCAAGCTGGACTTAGTAGATCAGCTGATAACACGTCGCTATTTGAAGCAATAGGTGCTGAGTTCGAATCTCAGAGTGAACACCAGTACTGGGATGCAGATCTATTCAGCTGGTGAGTCTGAAACAGGATGAAATATATTCTAGACCTTATGGCTAGTCAAAGTTCACCTTAACTAGAGATTAGGTGTAGCACGTTATATCAAAATTCCCGCATCTTAGGTATAAAAAATTTTAATTGGTTGTAAATAGTCCAGTAGCTGCTACATTGAAATAGATTTTTCCTCCAACCTCTGTTTATTTGTTATCAGCTCAATTCGCAGAGAGAAAAATCATAAACAGATGAGTATACAATTCAATACTTTAAATGAAGGGGTACATTTAAAAAAGAATAGTATAATAAGAAGAAAGTTGGGAATCAATGTTGTAAAATCAATACTTACACAAAAAGTTGATCGTCTGTATTGGGTTTATCGACGGATTCTTTTAAAACATTTGACAATATATATTCAGGATACTTTTTCTAAAATGGAAACGATCAATTAAAGTAGAAAAAGTTTTTTATAAATAAATATGTATGATACTGGAATTAATCATAGGATCTTTCAAAGTACTTTATTATCATACATAAATCTAAACACATGTTTTAGATGAAGATATTTGTATAAAGCCAATCATAAAAAATACATAATTACTAAAACGGGGTTTGTGAAGACAGTTGGATCCCGTGGTTTACATCACAGACTGATATTAATAGGACAAATAGTGAGAACTGGGGAGCAATGGACAACCGTTTCGCCATAGTATGATATTCCACATAGATGCGCGATCTCAAAAACATTGGTGAGGAGTGCCAGTCCAGGACGGAACGAACGCTTAGTGATCCCTCGTTTTTAAAGGTTATCTAGGATCCTTCTGTGATGCATCCATGATGATCTATTGATTATAGAAGCAAAACTTTCTGGACATTATTATTAAATTTTTAACTAATGGTGAAACTTTCTTGACATCTATGAAACAGTGATGTTTATATGAAAGTAAAAAGTAAATTACATAGATTTTGAAGTGATTTCATCAAAACTTTGATAGCAGTGAACAACATCTAGATGATAATGATACCTACATATACGACAAGAATGAAGGGAAGCTGTTTGTGTCTCGTGAATTTATGATGGTTGAAAATTCAATTGGACAACTCTCTTCCTAGTTGATATCTTGAGAAGTTAAAACATTCATTTCTGTGACACAGAAGAGAAGATAATTGTACATTAACACTTGATATAATTCAAAAACGTATTTTTTAATATTATATCTTCACAAGCAGTAAAAATGTAAACCGATTCACTAAGCAAGGGTACTGGGTTGTACAATATTCCTTAAGTCCTAAGCTTACTTGAATTTAAGAGCAGTGAAGGCGATTCACCTGCTTACGAACACAACGGTTGGTTTACTGTGTAACAGTTTGTCCCGTATCTGATGACCACCATGAAAAATAACTTGAAGATATATGTAGGTCGCCAACATTTATTCGTAAGAATTTAAAAGTATTCATTGCATATCATGGAACCGCCAAATGAGCAACGGTGATTTTGCATTTTACATAAAAGTTATATTAATTAGTGAGGTTTAGGACTTTCATAGACCAAGGTGGTTGGGACATACATCCTGACACGCATCCTGAGCCATTAACTTAATCAGATATCCTGGATAGAACAAAAGTAGTTTAGAAATGTTTAAGTCTATGATGTTACAACTGTTTTGAGGCAGATAGCACGTACACGAACACCTCTTAGTTCAACAAGTTTGATGTAATATATGGTTGATGTTATACAACATGGCTTGAAGTTAGTTTCATTAGCTCAGAGACAACTTTTTTTCTTACATCATGAGCTTTATATTATTCCATAATTTTTATTTCTCTATCTCATTCTATATGAACTAAATTTATTTTTTAGTCTTTACTACTATTGATAACTATTACCTTTCTGATCTTTTTCCGGTTATGGAGATGCGAATTATACCAACTGTTGTGTGCTTATATTACCTTAAAAGTTGTTAATATTTTTATACTTTGAGTCATACATTTTGTATAAGTCATACATACTGTTCAGATGATATAAGTGAAGTTAACAGAGCAGGTTTCGAATTCTCAACTTAACGGTTGAAAAACTAGTAAGTTATGTATGTACTTATGTGTTACTAAGAAATGAGAAGTTGACAGCTAGCTCGACCATAAGATCCTCTAAATACAGCAGACGAATAAAACAAAAATGAAAGAATTAGTTTGATAAACAAACGTTTTATAAAATCGTTTGAAAGGTCCCGTTACAATCATGAGCAGACTAGGGTTAGACATAAAGCACTTTATAAAACAAGGTGACATACATTTTTTTTACTAACGAGAACATTTTGCACTAAACCTCTGTGTACATCGCTTGCAACACGTCGTACATCTTCAACACAGTGTTCTAAATTTTCAGCATATTTAGGCCAGTCTGTGGGTTGTTCATCCTTTTTATCTCTAAAAGTTATCGATAAGTTAAAGGATACATTCATGGTAAGAATAATAAAGTATAAATTTGATCAACAAAATATTTTCTAAAAGTTTAAACATAAACAAGATTTACAGCTGTATGCGTGTTAAATTTCAGACTTTCTCTAACAGCTAGATTGAATTCTCTAACACTAACAAAGTTAATTGAATCATTTAGTATAAAAACAGTGAGGGAAATAAATAAAGGCTATACGTAGGTTACTAGTAATCGATTATGAGTGTTTTCGAAATATTGCTTCTGCATTCTGGGTCCATTGAGTAAGTAATCTCAAGGTTGGGATTACGGTACTCTGTGTAGATGGTAATTTGATTGGTGAGCTAGTGAATCTTCATCGGCTGAGGTGGTCGAGACATGTGTTACGTGCACTCAACAACCGCCTACTTCGATTAGCAATCCTGTGTGGTGTAGGAGTAGACTGGAAGGAAACTATGAACGACCAAGTCAAACATGGAATCAGTCCAAGTAATTAACGATTGGACTAAGTTATGGTAATAAGTGGATACCACCTGGTTGGGGTCCGATTGATAATCGTACCAGTGGTTAGAGACTGGATAACCTGACTCAAAATCGTTTGCAATGACGCAGGTGCATCTATTCTTTGTCTGCCGTTAAATTCTAAGCTTCTCAATTTCTCATAATGTTTTCAGTTTTATCTTCTTGATTCATGTTTTTCTGAACTGTACTTTTGGCGCTAAATCTTTCTTATTACCGCTAGTAATGATGCTACCTTTACTACTCTGAGATTTTCCTTGACAATTTTATCTTTTCATGCCAGCTGGGAGTGACAACCTGAACCGATAAATATAGATCCCAGGTTCTAATTCGCGAGTAACTAATTGGCTTTATACATGAATTCGCACCAAGTAATCCCATCTATGAAAAACGTTGAATATTCCAAGGTCTGCATGATGAGAGTTTACGAAAAATATAGAAAACGGTAATTCTATAGTCAGTACCATATCAAATTTTGGTAGATTACTATGACAGTTTGAACAATTTTAATTACTGTAAAAGCTTGTTACATACGGAGTAGTCGGCTCCTACCATTTCTAGAACCAGTCTGGACTAAATTGGTAAGAACAGACCACATGACGCGCAAATGAACCAAAACACCTGGTTATTATTAGGTGGATTATGATAAGATGTCCGACGACTTTGTTCTGTGAAAGGGTACTTACATTTGATAAATATGTGAAAACAGAGCTGAATTTTGCCAGTTTCGATATATTCGAGATAATTTTTCAGCAGACGATATCAAATATAACCACCGTTTTTGTTAGATTGGTCACCTTTTACGCATATCATCTGTGACGTCTAAACTGCCTGTTATTCATAGATTTCGAGTGGGTAGAACCGGAGCAAAGCGGTTAGTTTATGAAACTTTGCAGCTGAATAAGAGATAGTTGTGTTGGATTACTGTCTGTTAGTTCATTATAATATACTGGATGGGACAGCAAAAATCGAGTAATTTAACAATTTGACATTTTACCAGGCATGATTCCGGATAAAAGTCAATGGAACTCGTTGTGTAGCCGTTTATAACACCAGTCACAAAACAGTATGGTGGAACTAATAACTGTGTGGTAAATATCTTGATTACTTTTTTACCTAAACCATGCTTTTTAAATATTGTTACTCTTTTTGTGTGCATTTATTCAAGTTTATTTTAGAATTGTTTCACTTGATTCGATGGATCTCCTGATACTCTAACGAATCAATGACAGAGCACTTTGAACAAAAACTGTAATGGATATATCTACAGGTTACACCAGCCCTTTAAAATTTAAGCACAAATTGTAACAACTCAGTAGCTGTGACACAGAAAAATTGACCAACAGTGTGAATAAATTTTGGCCTGTTAAATGAAGAGTGTTTACCAATAGATAAGACGAGAACTGAAGTCATCAAAATAATAGGTGACTGTAGGACAAAAATGTTGTAGATGTCTGACGACAATATAAAATCAAACCTATTACTGGTGGCAACACCAAGACGACACATCTCTAAACTAGAAAAACATCCATATTGTACCTCACGACTACCTGATTGTTTTGAGCTCAGTATTGGTGGATAGACAGCTAACAAATTCATGCCGGATTTACAAAGAACGACTGGTAACAGGCTTTAAAGACCAAATAATGATGTCTAAAAGGAAACGGCCAACTCATAGTTTGAATTTTAAATAAATCAAGAAGTCTGGAACATTACAACGGACTTAATTGACCTGATCAAGGTCTACATAACTGAGGCTAAAACACGATTGAGTATTTACGAATGGATTTACGCGATTTCGTCATGATTACTAGGTATGTTTAGGATAGGAAGCTATGGAATTTACGAACTGGCAAGCGATTTATCAGTCATTGGTGTAGGATGCTAAGGAATGACTCACACCAGATGCTATTGAACTTATACTGACGTCAGTGGAAAGCCTTAATGCTTCACATTAGCGCTTCAGAAAGAATATGGTCTTAGAGACTAGTGAGGGCAAGCAAGATAGAAAACCAAAAGTGGGTTATATCACTTTAAGGACTAGTGACTCGATATTTACTGTTACGGATACACTACCTAAAAAACAAATTCTGTTAAACCAACTGCCTCGGCAACAAAAGCTGGGGCAAGGTTGCCCGCTAACAATAATATCATGAAACCAGGAACGTTGTACACTTATACACGATAACGGGACAGGAGGACTAGCCAGAACTGATAGGACTCACAAAAATGTAAGCGCACGCACAAACTAAGCTGCATGTTTCAAGTGGTTCTTTGGTAACATCGTAAAAGTTAACCACGTATTAAGTGTTTCTGATATAACATCGAACGATGATAGAGAGCTAGGTTTTACTGGTCAGTCGATGATAATACACCTTCCCCAACTGATTTCGTATGCTTAACGTATTCGTACAAACCTGGTTTATTCGGAGCTTGAGAAGAAGTAATAAATACTTTTCACAATACAACTGGTTTATGACTAAATTTTCGATAACGTAAACGTTAACCAACAATTAATTTAAAAATAAAGTCTGAAAACTATGGGAAAAAATTAAAATACTTGCCAGACAATTATACGGCGCCATTACCTACATACATGTAATGACTAACTTACTTGGACCATTTAAGCATGATAAGTACCTAATTTTGGAACATCGCTTGTTTGCATAACCTTGACGAGATGTAGACAAACGCAGTTGAAACACTTAGAATTTGTAATCCATGCCGAACAGAAAGTCAAATAAGCGTGTCCATAACCAATTCGCTATATTAAACAATGTCAATAAAGGACAGCTGCGGGTTCCTAAAGAACGTTATCTTTTTTCCCCTTTAGAACTGATTATCTATGACACCCTCGCAAGAAAGTTCGAAAACCCCTATCAAATAAACTCAAAGTTGAATTCTGTTTTTTTACATAAATCGATAAATGACTGCAACGCCTTACCTAAAAGCGGTATCGGCTCCATTATTGAACATGGATCATCACTGGAAAACAATCTGCAAGTATTAACATATGTGGGTCAACTTACAACTCAAATGGCGTCGTCTACCCACAATTGTCTGTTGCTTAGTAATGTATCGATACCTACCATTTTATTCCGTGGCTTTTCTTAGGCCATTTACTACTATTTTTGATCCAAATTGTAAAACAGAATATGATCTGAAGTAACAACTAGGTATGTAAATAAGTACAAGTAAAGTCATTGAAGATGGAATTGGGAAACCTGACTGAATTGCGACACTAATTATATGGAAACCAAGACCTAATAAGATAATCGTCTAGTAGTTATGTATACAAAGTTTTTGCCTATGTTATCAGAATTAGCACAGCAATAAACATAGATCATCGAAATGGTCATTGATGTATGGCTAAAATAACAGTGAGTTTAGGAAGTGCTGTATAACAAAATGAATACAGAAAATAAAAGTAGACTTAATCCAGATATGAATTTACCAGTGCCATTAGTGATTGAAAATGTCTGTTTCTGGAAATATCAATTCCGTTTCAGTTGTTACTGCTTTGGCGAAACGAAGGATTGTCACATCTCACCATTATGTCCTCTCATTTAAATCCAAACTGTTGTTCAGTCGTGTCATTGGACAATCAGTCTTCATCCCAGTATGTATTTCCTGGTCGTTTATCTGAGTAACGTCACTTCCTTTGAGGCAAAGATGAGGGTAAGCTGTTCGAAAATTCTGCAGGAAATCGAGACACATGAATACACAGCATTATAAAACAGCTGCGAACCTATTTCTCACTTCATCGAGGCCAATCTTAAGGATGAACATCCTTACCAGTATTTCCAAACTTCATCCTTTATATGCAGAAGCCCATGAGCCCCATAAAATATCATCCATAAAGCGTTGAAACGTTTATTGATTTTCCAATCAAATCGCTGTTGTTCGTGAAGTAATTCTTAATCTTGACGGCCCTGAACTCTACGATCGTCGTAAGGAGTCGATTTGCTGAGTTCTTCTCCCATCCAGGGAGAAGCGACTGAGACATTCGTTAGCATGTCACACTCTGAGTGGTGTAAACCTCGCCACCACATTGCGGGCCTCCAGTCACTAGCAAGACCAGCAAGAGCGAACACTGACATAGCCAGAGAACTCTGGATGGGAGGACTACTATTACAGCTACAACCCACTAATACAACACTTTTCGAGTACACACATTTTCGTACGGTCGGTTTCATGACAGACAACATTAGCATAAACGTTATCACTGGGAAAAACTACTTAGTTGCCTCAACGTCGCATCCATACATGGATCAGGACGCCAATCACCGACCAGCTTAAATGGATACGGGTGTTTATAAACATAGTCGTATCGAATTTCGCAACTGTATGGACCGTATACCCCACTTCCTTCGAGCCCATTTGCGTTCTCGTCAGGCTTAACAGTTATGGTTGTTTGAGTCACAGCACTAAGAACGCGTCTAACTACCAGCTAAATTCAGATCACACAAGTTATCCGAAATCTTCTTTCTGGAGGAAGAAGACTGGATGCATCAGATGAAATTAGTATATTTGCTGGCGATTCCGTGGTATCGAATAAAAAATCGAAACGTGCCAGATAAATAAGAGAGTTCACAATGCAGTCGTGGCACGATGGCAACCGGAAGGAGGAGATGCAACGTGGGTGTAGCGTAATGTCAGTGTATATACAAAAAGAACAGCGGTCAGAACGTAAGACAAAAGAGTGAATAAACAAATGTTCGATAATCAGTTCACTGTCACAATTAGTGTACTAATGAATTTTGCCATTTGATCAACCGTATTTTCTTCATAAAAGTGAAATCACTACACAGTCATGCATTTTCTTGGGTTTAATAGCATGCAGAAGAGCTTCGACGACCATACAGATGCATGGAAGCCGCTTTACGGGTATCGCTGTTTCTCATGAAGAGCAAATTACAAGCCTACGGGAAGATAATTATTATAAATAGGATCTCGTCGGATAGCTTGTCTCGTTCGTTAAGTTTGGCCCTTGTTTTGCTAGCAAATACAGATGGTCGATGAAAATTTGCTTTTCTTCAAGGCAAAAAACATCCCGCCAGTTAGAAAAGAATGTGGCTTTACATGAAGTAGTTTAATGTAGAATTCTTATGTTAAATAAATGGTTTAAGAAGAGAGTTAGTCCCATTTAGGTTCATCGTGAGTAAACGCCATTTATTGTGCGATATAGAATCATTAATTTAGCAAAGAAATCTCCAGAAATATTTGTTTTTTATACTTTGTACTCACATAAATAAATGGTTTACTTGACAGTGTGTCATTATTTGAACTTCAATCAAAATTCGTCGGACAACACTCTTTGCTCCCACTTACGCTTTCCCTTGATTGACACTTATTCCGATTTTCTGAACGCGTTCGTTAATCTTTCTCCGTATTTATGTTTGTGCTACAAGTTCCATTTTGCTGTCTGATTCAATCACTATCACACTCCCTTGCAGGGTCTTTTGCAAATTACTGCATCGAATCGAAGTTAGTTTGTTCTGAACAGGAAGATACACGTTCCAGTTGCCCCGCTGTTATACTTACGAGTGTTTGGTGTTTGACAAAATATATATGGTGGGAGAATTTATGTGCTGCTTAAACTTAAAAACCATGAATCCGATCATAATCGTAGTTAATCGGTTATTTTTGTTAAATGTGGTTGTCCAGTTAATCCAAAGTTTTACCAACCAGTAGAGATAGCAGACGTTTGTGTGTGACGCAAATTATATTGGAGCTTATTGGCACGCAGCAGAGACCTAAAATCACAGCACACAGTCATTAATCAGGGACTTCACGAGAACGGAGAATACGGAGTAGTGCTAACAGACCATATTATTCAAAGTTGAACAAAACGGAGAGCCTATTTACGAAATAGTCTTATACGTCATTTTGCTGGTTCACTTTACATAGGGCTCTTTCTACTTTTAGCACACTTGTCTTGTATCACTCAGCAATAAAAAGGAAACAGGTTCACATCGATAACATGATACGCAGTGATTTCGAAACCGTTACAGCCGGTCGTGTCGAAGACTAAGAATCTATTAGAGTTTGACGTGGACGTTGCGACCTCAGAGTTTACTTTACTGCGTCACAGTTAATACATGACTTGGACTTTGCTATCGAGATAAATATGTGGCTAGCTAGAATCAAGTATATGTTATTATTATTAATTAACATGGGCACATGGTGAAATCATTGATAAGTGAGCCTGATGGATGATTTTACTCGCGATCAGGGAGCTTTCACTATCCCCGCAATCATAACAGACCACTTTGAGCATTTATCTGCTTTTTTAATCAAACATATATGAAACTTGATCATTCAATTCTTATTAAACTTTTGGCTATGGCGCAGCCACCTGGATAGAGGTCTTTATTCACCACAAAAAATATTATTATGTAGTACTTAATTCATAGTTGTCAATTAAGGACTGTCTGCTCGCATGGTTCAACAATATGTCATCAACAAAAAATATAAATAATCAAGTGTTGTCGATCGATTTCTAATTGAATGTCTGAGTTCGTGGGACAACAATCATAACTTGATACATATACAAATACAACCGAATAACAATTTAATTCTGTTGTACTATTTCAATTGGAATGTTAGTAGTAAAGTCATTGCATCTGGCTTCCATTTTACAGGAGTAAACTGTGTATTTGGGATAAAGACTTCATCCGACTTCTTGTCACGCGGTAAGTCAAATGCATTTGAAATCCCTCCGTAGTACCGGCTTTGAACGAACAACCATCCGACTACAATGCAGTGTAATTAAAATGGTTTAGGATCCTTTGTTGTCACAGTTTAGCGATGTAGGCTTGAGTGTAATAAACAAACATTAAATTTTACCCGAAGAAATCATACTTCTACGGCAATATTATTCATAATGAGGAAAACTGTTGGCTTATTCTAAAATAAATCTACCTGGATTCCAGTGCTCAGTGACTTGGACTGTTTTATGGCATATTATTCTATTGCCGAATATAATACTTTTAAGTAGACCGATCGTTTGAATTATTGTTAACACTATATGTGATAGAAAAAACCAGGTTCCAGCAGAAGAAAAAATCAGGAGGCAGCGCAGACGGTGGATAGGACACAAGTTGAGGAAGCACGCAAATGTGCCACAAGTCAAGCCCTCACTCAAAGTCCTCAAGGCCAAAGAAGAACAAGAGGACCAAGTAACATATAAGCCGAAACTTGGAATCAGACATGAAAAGAATGGATGGTGATAGACAAGAACTGTTAAAGAAAGCTCAGAATGGAGTAGGTTAAGGAATGAAGGTTTCCTTTTCCTAATTCCTAGGGTCGATTCAGCTTCCCTGTTTGCACATCATTCTTATGATGAGAATTTTCAACTGGCAAGTTTTTCCACAGTGTTGTTTTGTTCACTTTGTCAGAAAAGTCAATGACAGTGGATTTTGATAACTAGTAAGAAAATCGCTAGATTTTTCACGGAAATCCTAATGACCATAACAGGCATCGGTAGCTACGAAAACATTCTTTAGTTGATGCCAGCTTTGACCCTCATTGAATAACGATTTATTATTCATGCAACTTAGATGAAAAATATGTTTCCAACTCTACTTGAAGGTTAGATAAATGAGCCTACGAATTTCGTGTAGTTTTTTGAAATGCCTAAAGGATGGGTCACAGTTGTTACTCGGACTACTGGTAATGTTTGTGTTTAAGAGTGAGAATAAACACCGTCGATGAAGTTTTTACGTTCATAGATGTGTTCGTGCCATATATTTTAAACCTTCTGGTCACACATATTTGTCAAATTAATAATGGTCAACCAAATAAAAGTTCGAATAAACATAAAATGTTGGTTATGATTAAGGGATAGCTAAAATTGCTATTGTAGGGTAATTGTGGCATTACTTTAGGCCAGGATAAGACAGAAGTTTAGACAAGTTGTTTTTGTACAAGCAATAAGGGTGTGGATCTGTAATTAGCTAAGTGATCCATAGAACGAATCATTCGTTCTTAAAAGTTTTTAAAACTGTCAGAAAGCAGTATTAATATCAATTGTTTGCTCAGTTACAACTGTGTGCTTTGCTATCGATGAACGTGGTTTTTCACTTTGCCTATTATCATTTATACTGTTCTCACTTACACGCTATTGATTAACCTTGATCCCTTAGTGTTATCTATTGCTCAACTTTTAACCGTAATACTCTTTAAATTTCCTGCTTACTTCGTTAATTACATCTAAGGGTTGTACAACTGCCCTGGCAATATCTCCCCCACTACATTCCAAATGCTTACATCTTGTTTGAAAACCCATACTATTTCTCCATAACTGTTAACTGTATTGGATTGATGCCTAAGCAAAAGTTCATAAGTTGTAACAGCCAGGCAAGTTTGTGAAAGGAAATTGCAGAAATAGTTTCTCAGCAGGATGTGAGACATAGAGCACCAAGTAGAACTCAATAGTTTCATTTTTAAATATTTAATATGAGCCTAGCAACACGAAAGGAGGGAGGGTGCAGTTACTGACCAGCAAACATTATTAATGTGGGCGATGACTTCAAACCACCAATGTTTGTGGAGCAGAACATTTTGATTGCTTTCGGCTCTTTAGACTGATGAGACGACTAATCAGTAACACTGAGGTTGCTCTTACACGCTTGCTACGTCTGAGGTTCATGTTTCCGAAACTATTCTGTCGAGACACCCGCAACATTCTCTTTCAGGCGCTTACAGTATGACTTAGAGGTTGGCATTCAACAATAATAATTAAAAAAAAACAGTTAGAAAGTGAGAACTTTTAATCTTCAATGTTTTCGTTTTACAAACTCTACTCTTTCAACTAAAATTTCGATTTCAACGTACATAAATCCAGCTTCTTAATTCGACTTCTTTTCTATCCACCTGACACTGCACAACTCTCCCTTCTTTTTTGCTGTATTCTCTTATCTGTGGGTCATATTCTTATTTTCCCATAATTTACTTTAATTTAAGTGGTCAGTATGAATTTTATCTTGACTTACTGCTGTATTGACTACTTCAACATGACAGGTTAAGTAGTGCTTTGGTTATATATATACACCTGCCACACTACTGCCTTTTTCTGTCTCTCTTCTCCTTTTCAGAACCCCATTCACGGTGGGAAATCCTTGGCGACTCTAGGGAACATGCACTCTATTTACATGACTGTCTGGATCACAGCTCGTATCAAGCACGTTCCATATAACCTTTCCCAACAAACTCACTACTGATATCGGCAAATCGCCAAAAGAACCTATTGTGCACCTTCCTTATTTGTACTCTACTATTGAAAATGTGGCTGTATTATACTGTTTCTGTCAGTGACATGGTGTAAATATGCTACCAGAAACTGACTCTTATACTTAATTTAACTGCTATAACTTTTACAGTAACTGTGAAAGCATTTGTGATAATTTAATTTAGCCTATAAACTGGAGTGACTCTTGTAACGTAGTTATTTGAGAATAAATATATTAATATTATATATCGCTAAAAATCATTCATTCCCGGCTTTGACAGAAGGAAACCTCTATATTGAACATCCAGAAAAATCACCTCTTAAAACTAAGGTCTAGAGTTAATGTTTCAGAGTTAAACGTCGAGATTTTAGTCTTGTTAGTAAGTTCAAGTGTAGCTAGGAACGTTTTTATAGTGAGATCAGTTTTGTTTGCAACACCTGTATCTACAAATTTTCAAACCGGAACTTCTGCATTCGATAAAATAAGTGATTATTTAGTAACCTCTACTCAGTCGTCATGATCTATGCATATGTTATTCGTTTTAAGAAACCCTGAGAGACATTTTAGGCTAGATACATGGTTGGCTGCACCTGGTTAGTTTAGCTCCAGACTTTCGTCGGTACCAACAGAACTTTTAAAACTAACTTACTGTTTGGGATATGTTTCGTGCACTGAACCACGTCCAGTGAGTTGGCCTGCAGCGAAGCATGTGCAGCAAAAACGTGTTCAAATATGTATGTACTTACGCATGTGAAATTTTTGATATGGGTATAGGTAAATGTACTAATCAATCAGGTTTACTTTTAAGACGGAAATAAGCAGAACAGAAGTTTTCATATTGAATGAGTGACTCAATAGTTTGGTAGCTAAAGCCTACTCTCGTTTTTTGTGCCAAAATCCAGCATTTTGGTTATAGGAAGTCTTCGTTCTCGTCGTGTTTAGCAACTCCGTGGACAGAGATACTACGACTAACCTAGAAAACCTTTCAATATTTAAAATACGATCGGATTGAAAATAACTTCCACATACAGCAACGAAGTAAATACTTATTTGTGGTATAATGTCTCGGTACTAGCAAGATGTATTCGCCTACTTTAAACCTGCTTTCTCATATCACTTTACACACCGAGCCAGCAAAATCATTCCTCTATGAGCCTGATGGTTGCTCAAATTCCTGGATGGGAAAGTTCGTGCAAAAAATTTAAGACATTTTCGGTAAGATACAACCTGGATTTGCTTGAAATTAGCGAAACACATTCGACGAAGGCTGGACAACTGAGACTAGCTTCAGGAGAGCTGTTGTTATACGCCGGCCATGAAGCAGAAAATGTCTCACACACAAAAGAAGTTGCACAAGTGCTGTCAGAACAAGTTCAAAAAGCACCAATAGGATGGGAATCTCATGGAATCAGAATCATGAACTCGTCCTTCAAAATGGAGAGGGCATGAGATGTATCACCATAAGGAATGGGTCTCCGTCGGTACTCTTGATAAAGTCTTCAACAGGGTGTTGTTAAACAGAATGAAGGACTTCATAGACGTCCCACTTAGAGATCAGCAGGCTGGATTTCTTAAGGATCCATCGTGTTGCGACCGATTTGCAACATTACGGATATCGGTGAACAATCAACCGAATGGAACTCATCTCTCTACATCAACTCCATTGACTACGAGAAAGCATTTGATAGTGTGGATAGGACAACACAGTGGATTCTTCTTCGACACTATGATGTGCCTGAGAAGATAATCAATATTCTTACGATGGACCAATTTGCAAAACCAAAGTCAGGATTTTCAGTACAAATGTTAAGACAGTTCTACTATATTTAGCAGAAACTTGGAGAACTACCAAATTCACCATCCTGAAGAAGTGTTGATTAACAGTTGTCTACGCGAAGTACTTCGGATCCGTCGACCTAAAACCATTAGCAACAACCTACTGTGGGAAAGAACAAACTATATTTCAGAGGAGAAAGAAGTCAGGTAGCAGCGGTGGAAATGGATAAGACACATATTGAGGGAAGCACCCAAAAGCATTACAAGACAAACACTCTCTTGGAATACTCAAAGTCAAAGGAGAAGAGGAAGACACAGAAACACATCACGCCGAGAAACAGAGAATGATATGAGATGAATGAAAAAACGTTGTACAGAATTGATAGGGGAAGTGCAGGACAGAGTAGGTTGGAGAACATTGGTCGGTGGCCTATGTTCTATTAGGATTGGCAGGCGTAAGTAAGTAAATGACGTTGTAAGACTGTATAGACTAACGGTGTTATGGCTGAGTGTGCAAAACTTCGTTGTGCTTGCCATGGAGAATGCCATGGAAATTTAGGGTTTGAGAGAGCTTTTATCCATTTCACTTTTTAGATCGAGAATACTTAAATCCATGTAGAAACAGATGTCCTGAATCAAAGGTAATGTATGACTGTTTGTTGTAATATCTTTCAGTAGGTGAAGTGAGCTTACTATTTGGTGCGACAGAATGAGTTACATGGCGCGCGCAATGGTAAGAGGGCGCGAACACGTGACCGGGCTACATAAACTGGGCTGCGTCCAGTAAAAATAATGAGGTTAATATAACTGCTGAAGATTCACAGAACCACTCAACGTATTAAATCATTACAATTTTGATTATCGGCTGAAAACACTGGTTTTGATTGTTTTAATTCACTATATAATAATTCTGTCGTGAAAATCAAAATAATATTGAATGTTGAAACCGGAAACAGTCTTTCTGGGGGCATCCATTTTGAATATTTAGACAGCGACATCCTTTAGACCTCATTTAAACAAGCATCATAAGCATTTGTTGTTTTTGTACTTTTTGGTGTATTCTTAGAATGTATAAAGTGTTTCAGAGATATTTTTGTGTCTATATAGAATCCCCGCCTGATAGAACTTTGTGCGGTGTGATCGCTTTTCTGTCAAGGTAGCGTATCCTTAATAGGCGCGTACTATGAGACTTCCGCTAATTAATCGTGTTGAACTCTTTCTAACTTGAAACATATTCTCCATGTTTTGGCTTTTCGTGACCTTCTTGCACATATAAGGTGTGTAATTCGTATTCTTAGGTTTCATCTGATACGACCAACTCGTTAGTTCTGAGAATACTTTAGGTTCATCCAATCTACTATTTGCGAGCTACTCTTAAATGTTTTCAACAGGTTTCCGTAGGTGTTTTTTTTAGCGCGCTATTATCCAGTGACTCATTTTAAAGTACAAGAAATTATACCTGGCCTAGTTTTAGTTCATAATTTAATTAGTTTGTAGATATAAGATGGGAGATAAGAAATATCCTATAAAGTATTATAATTTCGGACATTTATCTGCATACTCTTTTGTAATTTAGAGTGTATTTTATCTATGCGGACCGATTTATCATCGTGTTCTCTCTGTAACTTCGTACATTATTAGTTTGAACATTATACGATCACCAAAGATTTGGGGAACAGTTAACTCATGATAGATATGACTTATGAACTAATTTTCGGTCATTCGTATGGGCACGAAGCATCACTTTTCGAAAACATTACTGTTCATCATATATTTAAGACGGTTGTAAGCATATATAAAGTCTTGTTTAGTTTATTTTCTGTGTATTTTCTGTTGTATTTTATCCATATAATATTTGGTTTAAACATCAGCATTCAATTATACAACGGTCTGAGTCAAGCTGTGATTTCTTGACTTCCTATATTTCTTTTATAAATCTCTAGTAACAGTCACTTAACTTGTAAAAATATATTACAATAAACTACATGCATCTGAATTGTTTGAATCTACTGTAGGTAGTCAAGTCTCTTGAAGATAAAGTAATTAAGACTTCATTGCATATATTTTCAAACTTTCCGTCTTTCGTACATGTCAATGATGGCATTAATGAGGGATCTCAAAATACTTTTTAGTCTCAAAGAAATTCGAACTGCCACATAAGGGTCTTCAGTTTATTTTCATCGTTATTCTTCATCTTGTTCCATGTTATAAAGTTGTACTTTTTCCACCTTTATTTGGTTAATGGGTTATCTAAGTACGTATTCTCTTCATATCTACTGACAATAAATTAATATCTCTAGTTTCAGTATATTCATTAAGTCCTAAACACAACTGACAGTTCCGTGTCTTTATCTATTTCTTATTTCATTGTAGTATGACCTCAAACGACTCACGACGACCAATACTTCCAAAAACACATCTGACTCTACCTGTTGTTAGTCGCAACAAGTCTACTCCAGAAGTTGATTCGGTAATTTGATTTTCAATTAAACTTTATACTATATAGTGGTTAACTATTCATAACGTAGTAAAAGTCAAATAGCATTTGAGTAATTCACCCTTGATTTAATTCTTTAAGAGTTTTGGTTGGTTGAAATCTCGAATTTAACTCGCGTTTTCAAGACACGTTATGAGAATCTAACAATACTTGTATGTGCATAGTAATAGATATTTGGATGTGGCGCTTTTACTGTAAAATGAATTGTGGAACAAACGCTAAATGTCTTGGATACTATCTGTTGTTAACTATCTTAGTTTATCAGATTAAATTAGTTTGCTGTTCCTGTGTGGATTTTCACTTCAATTTATGGGTTTCACTAGATCGGTACAAAATTTATCGTGAAGCTCCAATTTTTTAAACGAATAATTTACAAGTTACCCTAACTAGATTTAGTCTGTTTGTAGTAAAATGGAGCTATATATTCATTTAAGGTTTGTACATTTATGGGATTCACTATATTTGTTGGTGGATCTGTCATACATTTCAAACACCTAGTGATTGTTTTTGTTGTTAAGTTTTTGTATCGATCACAAAACCCTAAGATTATTAGCCTTTAGTCGTAATTCAACTTCATTGATTACGAAGCTAAGCAAATGTTGAAATCATTTTTCCGACGCTCAACTAGGTCAAATGCAATAGATTAGTGCAAGCGTTTTTAGTCAGTAGTTTCTTTGACTAGCTAGTTCTCTATCAAGACTCTTATCACTGAATAAGGAGAGTCTCAGAACTTTTTGATCACTAGAGTCAATTATTTATGCTTCAAGTATTATACGATTGTGATCTAAAATGTTCATTAATAATGACAATATGATGTATCAAACCTTTTTGCTTAAAATTAACGAGCACGTGCTAATATAATCACTCAATCCCATTAAAAATGTATGGATTCACTTAATGCCACAAAGGATAGAAAATTTGTTGACTACGAATACTGAGTTTTAAGCTACTCGAATATTTTTACTGTGAACAGTGCATTGTTTCCGGAACTCAGTCGACCAGCTAAAACGTAGAACTTCGTACGTACGTACGTACGTTGAGCCTATTACAAAACCCGCTTATGAATATTTTATAATGACTTTGTACCACAAATTGTTGTCTAATAATTAATAGTTTTGGATTTCTTAACTTGTGGTCAGGTTCTAAGATTACTAACAAAGAGATAGCCCTCTACTTTCTAGACAACCAAACAATATCAATAATTTACACCTTTTCATTATAATCTGTAAAAACTACTGCTTAAGATTGTAAAGGCTTTTTGCAGTAATTGTTCTACGTCTTAAAAAATATAAAAGTACCTCATTATGTGGAAGGATTGTTCATTTTAAATGATCACTTACTGACGAAGTATAGATTTATGAGTGACCAGAAACTAGCCAAAAGCTTGATAATAGTTCTCTTAAATGTTCTAGTACTTGTACAGTTATTAAGTTGATGTTACCCCAACAGTACCACCGATCTTTACACTGTGTTTGATGTTGTTTGCATTTTTCCCGACCGTAGCTGCTTACTTGACGTGGTGGTCGGGCTTGCATATCGTGATAACCCAACCGAGCTATATTGACCGAAACTTATATTTCTCTAGCCCTTACCATGAAAGGGCAGATCGATTGGAGGACGGTGAGATTAAAAGTAGCAACTCATGGTCTGAGGGCCCAGTCGTACTGCTGACTGTAGAGGGGTGTGACGGCAGTAAGGTGTTTCCCTCGAACGATCACTATCTGGGGCGAGGCTGCCTTCTCACAAGGAAGGAAAGGGTTAAAAAAGGTTGACTATAGAAATGTCACACAGCTTACCTCATGGATTTCTGTCTCCGGCGGTAAGGTCTTTTAAACAAGAGCGGAGCTAACACTAAGAACTTCCCATGAAAAGGCCGTGCGTGACCGACCTGAAACAGTCATTCCTTGGGCTCTGGGATCACGTTCCCAGGTCGCTCAGACCAATGCTAACCCGATTTCCTTTTCAGGTTCCTCAGGAAACAACCTTCGACGGTGTGGGCAGCCGAGAAGTGACAACCTCCCTCATAGCCGTAAAAGCACACAATACCAAATCGGTCACAATCAGAGGACATGTGTTACGTATGCCCAACCACCTATTGACTCGTCGAGCTATGGTTTGCGGTGTAGGAGTGGGTTGGAAGAAATCTAGGGTTGGCCAAACCAAAACATGGTGCAAATCCATGAAATCACTGACAATGGGACTGGGTCATACTGGTAAATCTAGGCTACGTGTTTGGGGTCCGCGAGACGATAGTTACCGGTCGTTAGAGACCTTGAGTGACATGACTCAGAATCGTTTGGAATGGCGCAGGTGCATCCACTCTTTGTGTTCTCTCAAATTCTAATCTTCAGAATTCCGCATCATCTCTATCTTTCTCTTTCTAATTTTATTTCACTAGAATCTACTTGAATAATATCTTCGAACTCTTATCTGTTCGATTACTGCTAATACTTCATGTGGGATTCGAAGTGACAATTGCGTCTCTGTGCTAATGCGGTACGGCAACCTGAACTTATGTACTTACGTACAAGGTTCTGCGTTGTAACTGATTGACTGTTTGCATTCGATTGTGCAAAGAATAAAAGTATTACAGACATTGTCTCTACATTTACTCATTGAATCTGATTTCTACACTGATGATTCCGTGAATATTTTTGTATGGTTTAAAGTTGTAAATTCTATCAGGATGAATTCAAAATTTTAATGTCACTCTGTATTTGTATTAGCATAAAACATATATTTTATGTCTTAAAAAACATCTTGTACTTTCTTTTAAGACGCCATTAACAAATACGCCTTTGACTTCATCGTCATCAATATCTTCATTTAGAACAATTGCTCCAAAATCAATTCAGAATCACTCAGTAATTGTCACTCCTGAAGTGGTCAAGCCATATGAGTTTAATCGGAAGGATGTTGTTCACTATTGTGATATTGAACTAGGTAGTCAGGATTCCAACCCTCTTAAAAACTATTCTGCAATATATGCCTACAGTGTTGTCCACCGTAGTCACTTGAGATTCCCTCACCAACGAGTTCTTTTACCGTCTCACACAATTCCTCGAACTCCTATAAATGCGGATACACTTCCATCTGGACCATCTACTTCTGGTTTCAATGTTAATGAAAAGGGAAGTCTACGTCCAACAGTTAAATTTCTACTTCGCATAGGTAAGTTGCATTTTAAGAACTTTTCATGGAGTTGATTTGTGACACTATCTAACTTTTTAACTGTGTTTAATCCCATAAGTGAATTAACACAAGTCGATAATTAGATACAAGTTCAGGTAATAAAAATTGATCTTGTTTGCTAAATGTTCTACATATAAATAAATTTAAGTGACATAGGCGTAGAGACTGTAATACAATAATTTCCATTCCTGTTCATTTTTGTCGTAGACATGCTTTTAGAGTTAACATTATCCTCGTCTGACTTTTCAGGGGTAGACCTGCCACGAGACACGCTTGTTGACTCACAATATGCCAATGAAATAGTTTTATTCAGTGAAGACGCTGACAAATTGCAGAGTCTTCTGACTGCCCCAAGCAACAATGCCAGCATGTTCGTAGTGCAATTCTCCCCCTCGAAATGCAAAATGTTGCTTCAAGATTGGGTTTCATCGGCACCTGAACTAGTGATAGGGAGTGAAACAGTTGAGTGTGTTGACTGCCTCACTCATCTCAGGAGTCTCATCAGTGCTGATGGCCTGGTGACTGACGAAATTTCAGCGCGGTTACGGGAGACTCGATTGACTTTTACCAACTTGCGTCGCTTGTGGCGTAGGCGAGATATCTGTTTGCTAACCAAAAGATGAGTGTACTGTTGAGCAGTTCGCTCTGTTCTCCCATATGGATGCGAACACATGGCCGGTAAGAGTTGAGAATATTCGTACGTTATTAGTATTTGATTATAGGTGTCTCCGAAGCATAGCTCGTATATCCTGTGACAATCGAGTAAGCGATGCTATAGTTAGGAAATGAGTACTAGGTAGGGATGGCAGATCGATTGATAAAGTACCGAATCTTCGTCAGTTGAGGTGGTTGGGACATGTGTTACGGAGGCGGAACCACCGACTGCTTCGACGAGCTATGTTTAGTGGTGTAGGAGTGGGTTGGAAGAAATCTAGGGTTGGCCAAACCAAAACATGGTGCAAATCCATGAAATCACTGACAAGGGGACTGGGTCATACTGGTAAATCTAGGCTACGTGTTTGGGGTCCGCGAGACGATAGTTACCGGTCGTTAGAGACCTTGAGTGACATGACTCAGAATCGTTTGGAATGGCGCAGGTGCATCCACTCTTTGTGTTCTCTCAAATTCTAATCTTCAGAATTCCTCATCATCTCTATCTTTCTCTTTCTAAAGTTATCTCACTGACTTATACTTCTTGAGTAATATCTTCGAACCATAATCTTCTGAATTACCGCAAGTACGTCTACTATCTCTTCCACTATGGGATTTGAATCGACAATTGTGTCTTTGTGCTAATGTGGTATGACAACGTGAACTTATGTACTTACGTGCGAGGTTCTACATTGTAACTGACTGACTGAGTACAATAATTTGGATTAGTTCACTTAGGATACTGATTATTAGTTCCAATAATTTTGTGTTAATGGCATACTTTTTCTTTGCTTTCTGTTTTATCACAATGAGTCCACTGTATTTTATTACAAGAATCTGATCACAATACTTCGTCCCGAACTTGATAATGATCAAAACTGCTCTGGCGATAATTATTTTAACTTTTTTATTTGACTTGTATGTTTATTTTATCATATTTCCACATCGTTATTTGCATTGATTGCTGTATGGCCATGATTAGTAAGTAGTAGTATTTGCTACTTTTTATTGCTAAAATGATATTAGAATTTTATGGTACTTCTTAAGACATATGCAGCCTATTTTTCGTACAAGACTTGCGTCGATGGTTGACAGTCCTTAGCCTACTTTTACAATATATTTGAATAGGGCCAAATTTACCACATCGGAAGCAAACCCCCTTTTTTAAAACGTTGAAAATTAGTGGAGTGTGACTCACCACCTCTCCAACAATCCAACGTGGATTGGATTTGACTTATATTTTGTTGACAGGATGTACCTTTGTTTTCGTTAAAAGAATTCCACAAAGCATGGATTTCTGCGTGTCATTCAGTCAGTCAGCTACAACGTAGAACTTCATGTGCCACTTGAAGTAAATGTTAATCACTACTCTCTACGAGGTTTGTATCATGTCTTAAGTTGACCATTCCTTGATATTCCTCTGATACCGACTGATTACTAAAATTAGGATTTGCTTCAATTCTTGCCAAAACCCGTGCTCTAATGTTAGCATCTGCGAGAGACCGTAACCGGCATACAAAAATGAGACTGGTTTAGTGACATGTCATGTAGACGGAACCGCTCACATTCACCGTTCAGGTTGCTGGCGTACGTTATGTAGTCGTCCTGTGATTTTAAAAAAAAGCTGCAAATATTGGTATCTAGTATGAAAAATCGGTTATCGTTCTCCAAATATTATTTTCAGGGACTTTACTGTTTCCAGTAATGTTAGGTCGGTTGGCCTCTTTGTTAAAAAAACAATTCAGGGCATTTTGTTGTTGCAGTAATAATGTCAGACCATCCATTTTCGTTATATAAAAATCCATTTTAACCAGATAAATGAGCGTAGGTTCGTTTTAACCACCATCACCACTTATAACACTCTGTTCCTCTCCAGTCAGTCAGTCTCTGTGCTAATAATGTGGTATGGCAACATGAACTTATGTACATACGTACGAAGTTCTACGTTGCAACTGACTGACTGACTGACTCAGTCAGTCAGTCAGTTGCAACGTAGAACTTCGTACGTAAGTACATCAGTTCATGTCTGTTTCTCTCCAGAGAAATCAAAATCAATGTGAAGTCATTTTAAATTATTTATACTATTTACTTACTAGACATTAGTGTATTTTGATGGTCATTCCTAAGGAAGTCACTATTTGATATTTGCCGAAAATACGCAAGTTTTTGATATTTTTTGTCCAATTGATTATATTTTACTCATTCTCAGGTACATCGCTTGTGCGTTCACAATATGAGTCAGCGGTTGGTCAAGAAGTAAGTTCTCGTCAGTCATTTCTGGGTAGTCGACGTAAACGCAGACGTGTTGATGAGGAACCAACTCGTCCATATGCAGGCAAAATCAATATAGAAACTGTCAACGTTTCTCATTTAGAATGGAAACCAAAAATGCATCATCCTTGTTGGGAGAAAGTATGGAATTATTGTCATCAGTCTCGTTGTCCCTATATTCCTACATCTGCTTTACAATTATTACGACATCTAGAACAAGGTCACCAGAAACTAGTTAATATTGATTCGATGGCGGTACCTCAAAAAACACTACCTGACAAAGTAGATCGTAATGATTGTATGCTAAATCCATCAGAATTATTGGCCAATAAACTGATAAGCCGATTCTATGTCCCACTCACTGTAAATTTCTCCAATTCCTCTTCAAATGAATCACCATATACATGTTTTATCTGTGGACAAGTGAATAGGTCTCAGCGTTTGATGGACTATCATCTCCAACGGTTAGTACATTTTTTTACAATTGCTCCATTACACTATTTCTGTCATGTAGTAGTAGTACCAGTGATGGTATACTGGATATTTATTCATGTTAGTTTATTTCAATTTTAGATTTTTACGTTACTTTGATATACTGAAGGAATTCATTTAATCTCCCTCTTGGGTATAAACGTTTATGAACAGAGTTACCTGTACATTATATACGCTGAATTACTATAAAGATACATTGATTTTATGAATAAAGTAGTGTTACAAATCTTAAGATTAAAATAGATTATACCTTGCACAAGGTTTAATTCAGCTTAAATGTTGTTGAAATATAAGTGTATCCAAGTGATAAGTTTCAAGTAGAACGAAACATTTTTTCATCAATTACTATTTGTTACCCAGTAATTAGATAGTTTGCATCAATAAACATAACTTAAACCGACAGTCAATAACTTGCCATGTTTTGGTTTAGCTGTCCCTAATTTTCAGCTCACTCCTACACCAAATAATGTCGCCCACCTAGATTAGCTTTAGTTAAGGATACACAACCTATACGCAACATTATTCACTTGGTTGTTTCATGATACTTGAGCGATACTTCAAAGACACCTGTTATCAGTCAACACATGCCTTCTCACCTACTCCACAAGTGTCAGGACTTCGTCAGACATCAGTCCACTAGGACTAATGTAACTCTTAAGATATATATATATATATATATATATATATATATATATTAATATATATATATATATATATATAGCAGTTTCATTCTAAGCACTTTTATTTGAAGACATTGATGATAATAGGTTACTGCAATAGTCCATGTAATCGAAAAAGTTATATGGTTCATCCTGATGAGTACTGATTTCAGATGGTGCGATTTCATCTCTAACCAGGTGGTTAATATTAATTATCAGCGCTTTTGGTAAGAGTACGTCTATCCTAAAGGTCACTTATTGAGCTGAAGAATTAGCGTGCAGTATAGTATATGTTAAGGCAATATGAAACGAAAGGTGCTGACGACGACCCATTAAGCATATATAATATACTTACATTTAATGTCAAAGCAATCTACAACCATTGATAAGAAAATGTCGGTGAGATTTAAGACTATCTGAAAATTAAAACTGAAAGTCGTCGGAATAAAATTTTCGATGTTATCAGATTTCTTCTCATTTAAGCCGGAAAGCATTTCAATTCATTACCGTATATCTTTAAGTGTACTTATAGCGTTTATTAATTTATTAAATGCAATAAACTTCATACTAAATAACAGAAAATAATTCTAACTATTAAAATGATTATTTTACCTATATAAAAATAATTATAATTTGCAGTTTACATTCAGAATTAACTCCTGGGCGCATAGAAAAACCGTCAGTTATTTTATGCTCAATCTGTGGCTCACCTACACAGGCTAATTTAATTAGAAATTCGTCGCATCATGCACATACTGATATTTCAATACATGTTTCGTGTAAAAGTAATCCGTCAATACACAATAATGCTCCATGGTCAGGATGTGATGCTCATGCATTAGCTTGTCTTATGCTTTATCCTACTATGTATGCTCGATTCGGTCTACCTATTCATGTTGCCCGTTTTCTCTATACATTAATTCAACGTATGTTAATGGCTCGAATAAATGAATTTGGTGGTTGGAGTGTTCAAACTTATGCTTTAAGATGTTGTGCAGCAATATCAGTTATATATGGTGAACTTGTTGACGCAAACCTGATTCAATCAAAAATACGAATTTTAGAATGTAGTAACGGTTTAAAATCTGTTTTCTCAAATGCTTCGATTCCTTTGTAAGTTTTTATTGAGTATATTTTTAAAATTGTTTATTATATTCCTGTACTTTGATTTAATATAGTTTTATAATTCTCCTGTATTACTGTTGAGTTGAAATTTTGGAAATATATAATTTATAGGTGTAGGGAAATTTGTTGAAATCATAAAGTCTTCGCGTTCTATTCTAGTATGTGACTCTTTAACAGTATACATCCACTAACCTATATCCAGGGTCTATTGAATGATATGCAATCGGTGTTTAGATTTTTAATAACTATAAGAAGTTGCTGTATTCTTTTTTTAAAAAAACGAGAGGATATATTAAGATGTAAAATTTTTTGAGTTGGACAAAAAGGTAAATGAACATGGTAGCGCAAGGTACGGATGGAAAAAATAGTTTGGTCAAATAGCCGTAAAGGATAAAAATTACTTGTCGAATATACAAAAAACACAAATCATGCAGCTCAAAGTCATGTACGCGGATCTGTGTTTAGTTGTTGAGTTCAGAAATTGACTGGTTGCTAACAGAAAATCTATTAAGAAATAAAGACTACTCATGAGTAACATAAATGAAATTCCATAAATGCATTTTTTTCTAAATGTCTGTCCTAGGTCTTATCGCCTATCTAATTTTTTCACGATATTCACATTCCCCAATTTGGAAATATTCGTGTAAACATCAACAGGAAGTGTTGGATTTTCATCAATATTGCCTTCGTTTATCGACAACACATAGTAACTGAAATCCATACTGGTCATTGTCATGTCATTAAAGCTTCCTCTCAGCGATCGCTTTCTTGTTGTCAGATGCTGTAGTCTAATTAATATTACTCTATGTTGCGTTTGGTTTTAAGGATTGAATAGTTTAAAACGTTGGGATAGTAATAATTATAGTGTTAGTATTATTGCAGATAACATTCTGATCGTCATTTCAAGAGCTAGGAATGTTTGATTTAACTGATCTTCATTCATGCGTAATTTGTTAGTAGATAATCTATCGATTATTGCAGTGCATTTATTGCCTGCTCTTTTCTCTAGACAATGAATACTCTTGCCGTAAGATCAACTACTTTTTTTGCTGCATGTACTATCTTGTGTATAAGCTTCTGTTGTCTTGTGGTTTGTAAGATATTGGAGTATTTCCTACAGATGTTCTTAATTCTTCCTGGACTTCTATGTTGCAATATCTGGTCACGAATACGACTATATTTTAGTCTGTTATATAGCGTTGTTATTTGTTTGATTATATGGCTGTAGGTCGGGGTCATAGCTGTTGAAGATAGAAAATTTGAACAGACAATATTTATATGATGACCAATGTTTTTTATTCGTTATTCATGTTTGATGAAATCTCTGAATATTTTGTGTGAAAGTAAAGCATAGAGTTAAAGCTTTAGTTGAAAGAGAGAAATCATTTAATATGGTTGTGATATACGCGAATTAAGATAATTACTTTGAACTCTGCGTCAGTCCCAACTTGAATTGGTATTCTGAATACTAGTATATTGTCTTAGTTTGGTGATAAACAAGTTTTTATTCTTGTTTTATGTCCAAGGTTCTCATATTATCTTTAGAGTTGTTTGTTAGCCTCATTCCAATGTATAATTAAACTCATAACTTCGCCATTACCACTATAGTTGTAGTGCCTCCACATTTATTTGCATCCGCTTACATTTAATTTGCTTAAGCCCTTTCGGTTAATTTCTTTAACCAAGCCATTCGCTTAGCTTTTATAATTGTATGGTTTGTATGAACTGGCATGACTGAGTATCGCTTAACGCCTACGCGCATATGCACCCTATTCGCTTTAATATTAATCTCTTAAATACCACGATGACTCAGACATTTTCCTTTGTATATATATGAACATTTTAATCTTATTAATTCAGTCGCCCATTCGCATATTCGCTCGCTAGTGTGTCTGCCTGGTCTGTCTGTGGTCTGCTATCCTTATTTGTGGTGTGCCACAATAAACGTATACGATACTTCGAATTCATCTTCTGATTTATTAACCGTCAGACGTCATTTAGTAACGGTAATCTGAACGAGCTTATTACGAAACTTAAGAACACCTCGAAATCGGCACACTACAAATTGGATTAATTTGCTGATATCGACGACAGACCAAAAACTACGACCACGAATCGAACGCGTCCGCAATATTACTGACAATCACTATTTCGATACGAATTACTATTTTGGACTAAATTAACACTGTGGATTATTATCAGCGTCATATCCTTATTTCACGACAGTTATTTCATAAACATTATTTGACATATTTTGACATTATTAACAATTATGAATTACGTCATTATACATAAAACTTTACTGCTGCACTTTAGTAAGTCTGTTCCGTGTTATATCCGTTTTATTAATTGTTGTTAACATTATTATCGTCTATCTAATTTCCTCCCCTTATTTTCGTTAATTTATTTGCTTACTATAAATTGTACCTTAACATGTCTTCAGTTAACGAAACAAGTCTGCCACAAGTGGCGTCCGTGAGGTCCCTTAATATTGCTATTCCTCCGTTTAGTGTTGCCGACCCACAACTTTGGTTTATTAGACTTGAAAGTTACTTCTCATTTAACCGTATTTGCTTACAACGCGACAAATTCGGCCATGCATGTGCATTGCTTCCGGACGAAGTAGCAGACGCGGTACGCGACGTTCTCGCCAAACCAGACACAGAAGCTCCGTACGACGTATTGAAAGCGGCTGTGGTAAAGGCCGTCTCGCTAAGCGACCAACAGGCTCTAGACCGACTTCTCAACCAAGTCGAACTAGGTGATAGGACTCCTTCACAGCTAAAAAATTATATGAGAAGCATAATCGGAGACAGGAAAATAGATAGTAGTATCTGCTATCAGCTGTGGCTCCGGCGACTTCCCCAAAATATTCAGCAGATCCTTGCATTCGGAGATGCTGATGTCGACATAGATCATATAGCAGAGATAGCCGATAGAATTCAGGAAAGATTCAGAATACCGAGCCCACAAATACAACACACCTCGGCTGATTCCGAAATCGAAGAGTTACGAAAAGAGATTAACAATTTATCTCAAAAGCTTTCCGGGCTGTATCCGAACGAGAGACCGAAAAGACGATCGCGAAGTAGGTCACATGATAAATATCGATCACGCTCACGGAGACTCACAGGACCTACAATATGCTGGTATCACCAGACTTATGGCAACCAAGCCAGAAAGTGCAGACCGCCATGCGGTTTCAAAATAGTTCAACAGGGAGACGGTCCCGCCGGTTGCCGGTAACGGCTGCAACAGCTGGCGTAGCTCCCAAAAACAGTCGTCTATTTTACATCCAGGACAAAAAAACTGGTGCTCAGTTCTTAGTCGACACAGGAGCCGAAATAAGTGTTGTACCGCCCGTTAGTAATGAACGACGAAATGTCAATACGGCGCTTACTTTGAAAGCAGCAAACAAATCTGACATAAAAACATACGGAAAGCGAAAAATAACTTTAGATTTCGGTCGAGAAATTTCGCTTCGATGGGAGTTTGTTATCGCAGATGTATCGGTACCTATCAGTCAGTCAGTCAGTTGCAACGTAGAACTTCGTACGTAAGTACATCAGTTCATGTCGCCATACCACATCAGCACAGAGATATAATTGTCAATTCAAATCCAATAGTAAAAGAGGTAGTAAAGGTATTAGAAGTAATCGGAGGGGTTAGAATTAGAAGATATTATTCACGAAGTATGATTCAATGAGATAAGTTTAGAAAGTAAAAGCTAGAGGTGTTGAAGAATCCAGAAGATTAGGATTTGAGAGAACACAAAGAATAAATGCACTGGCGCCATTGCGAACGATTTTGAGCCATGTGATTCAAGGTCTCTAGCCATCGATTATTATCATCTCGCGGACCCCAACCAGGTAGTCGACAATTACCGACATGGCTAAGTCCACTCGTCAATGACTTCATGGATTTCTGCCATGTTTTGGTCTGGCCGCCCCTACCTTTCTTCCAACCTACTCCTACACTACAAAACAAAGCTCGACGAGGCAGTCGGTGGTTGGGCATACGCAACACGTGTCCCAACCACCTCAACTGATGAAGTTTCACCACTTCATCAATTGATCTGCCATTCTTACCTAGTACCCGTTTCCTAATAACAGCGTTGCTCACTCGGGTGTCCCACGATATACGAGCAATGCTTCGAAGACATCTATGATCGAAAACCAATAACCGACGAGTATCTTCTACTCTCATTGGCCATGTTTCACAGCCATAAAGTAAGACGGAGCGAACCACTGCGCAGTACACTCGTCCTTTAGTCAGCAAACGGATATCTCGCCTACGCCATAAGTGACGCAGGTTGGCAAAAGCCAATCAAGCCTTCTGTATCCGTGCTGAGGTTTCGTCAGTCACCAGGCCATCGGCAATGATGAGACTCCCAAGATAAGTGAAGCGGTCTACACGTTTGACCACTTCACTCCCTATCACTAGTTCAGGTGCCGACGAAACCCAATCTTGAAGCAACATTTTGCATTTCGAGGGGGAAAACCGCATCCCGAACATGCTTGCATTGTTACTTAGGGTAGTCAGAAGACTCTGCATTTTGTCAGCGTCTTCACCAAGTAGGACTATGTTATCGGCATATTCTAAGTCAATAAGCGAGCCACCTGGTAAAAGGTCTACTCCAGAAAATTCAGACGAGGATAAGGTTATTTCTAGGAACATGTCTATGATAAAATTAAACAAGGATGGGGAGAGTGGACATCCCTGACGGACACCACTTGATGTAGAGAATTCCGGTGACAGTTCGCCATAAGCTCTCACTCCACCTGTAGTGTTCGAGTAGAGAGCTTGTATGAGGTTAATGTACTTCTTTGGTACACCTTTCAATGACAGACACTGCCACAGAACCTCACGATCCACAGAGTCAAATGCCGCCTTAATGTCCAGGAAAACAACTATTGTACGACGCCTAAATGTGTGTTTGTGTTCCAGGAACTATTGTAGTGTGCATTTGTCGTCTATAAATCCATCTT